GACAGGCACGTTTCGGCCGCAATATGCACCGTTAGTCCATCAGCAGTTGCAAATGTACGCCTCGTTAGCTTTCAAATATAGCCGAAGTTGTTGGTTATAGCAACAAAAAGGATAACAGCGGTCACATGTGCGCGCTGCACAATAATAATAACAACAACAAGAAGAACAGTAAATGCTGCAAGCGAGCAATGCACCGTTAGCAGGACAAAGAACGCCGAACTACCGTTGAAAAACATAAACAGAGCGGCAGAGATATGAAAACAAAAGAGCGAGTGCTGTTGCGAGTAAGTGCATTATATTAGAGAGAAACATAGGCGTGAGAGAGTGCTGTTTATAAAAAAGTAGTAATTGTTGAGTACTAACTTTATGAATTTAAGTATTTGCCTGGTAATGTTTTAGCTTTTGCAAAATATATAACAACGGTTCACCAGGAAATTAATTAAAAGTTGATTAAAAGTAATAACTAATCCAATTATCAATAAAACATTCAGCTAGTATGTTTATTTTCATTTGTATTGGTTTTCAGAATTCTGTGCGGTGCGTATGAGTAACTTTTGTGAAATGTTTTTGTATGTTCTAGAGATCACTCATACGCCTAGTTGGGCACGAGGGAGAAATTGTAATTTGAAAAAACTTAAGTAGAATAGAAAATTGCCAAAAAAATGGCAGGTTGTTTTCTTGTTTTCTGCGAATAGAGGATGTTATTTTTATAAAAAAAAACTTTATTATATCTAAAACATAATATTTTGACAAAAATTAACAATAAGTTCAATGGAATGTTATTGAGTGACCGAAATTGAAGTTGTTTTGCGGTAGATGAGGATTCAAGTGCATGAACTTAGTGGGTTTTTTTTAAATTTCAGACAAATATGTACACCTGAGAATGTTGCCAGCTGGTTAAATGACATGATTTCGCCCAAATAGAAAACCTCATTTGAGTGAGAAAATGGTAAACTAATGTGAGTTGGGAACTCACACTTATCAATATTATCTATTTCCTGTTAGTAAACCAAAAAAATACAAAATCGAGAGAGAATTAGATTGTCCGAAGGTATAATCTCTGAAGCAAAAGCCAAAGGCTTGAGATTCGCCATACAGTCTGACAGTGAGAGTCTCTACAACAAATCGAAGCGATGAAAAGAAGGATAATTATTCTCTAACTGGATATACCACAGTTCATACTTCTATCGATAATAATCGTCATCGACTCGCTGTTTCTCTGCTATCTATTTTTGGCTGCTGTTCTCCTAAAGAAAATATTGTAATGTGTGTTCGATTCTTTACTCTCTAATATATTATGTCATTGCTAGCAAATAATTCGAATATTTTTACAAAACCCAAGGAAATTTTAATACTCTAGAGTTGTCATAAAAGTGGCAGAGATATACAATTTAAAACTCACTGTTAGACTAAAGATTTTTAAAGGTTTTTAGAACTTTTATAAAAGAATAATTGTTCACATTTCTAGCTGTAATACCATATAATCAAATTTGGCCCGGACTGGTCTATATAAACAGCGTGCGAATCGATAGTAAAATTTTTTGTAAATTTTTCTTTTTTTATGTTCGTGCGAATTTTGAGCTCCATGTGACAATTTTGGTTAATGTTTTGGGTATGAAGTGTGTCAATGCTAGACTCGTGCCAAAAGATCCGAATCTTTTGCAATAACGAGTAACGGTCGCAAAAGAGATGCTTGATAACTTAGCTGAGGGCCCTACATTCTTCAAACGCACCATTACTGACAAAACGTGAGGTTATGAATGTGACGACGGTACTGTTCAAAAATCAAGTGAATGGCGCTTCAAAAATTAGTCGAAACCAAAATTCGCTGAAGGCGCTGAAGACCAACCCAGCCGTGGCTTAAAACAAGTGTATGAAAAACTGGATCAAGCCTTAGCATGCTAGTATAAACTCAACGGCAGCTTATTTTGAAGGCGATTTAAAAATTTGTATTAAAATACGTCAAAAAATATATTTTGTTTTGTTAATCCGGGTCAAATTTGATCTGATGGTATGCTACCTAGAAATGGCTGATGAATATCCTAAGGTATACTATCCTTGTTAAATAATTTTAGAGGCATTCATTATCACCACAATTTAAAATATTTATTTCTTTTGTAGTAAGCGATTCTTGGCGTTGACTTCCATTTACCGTAAGCCATTTTCCTCAAATGTCAACAATGGCATTCCCAGATTTTGCCTTACTGATCCATTCATTATGAGCCTTTTATAAGCTTTAGGCAAACAGTTAGAAAAGCTAACAACACATACACACAAATACACAAACACACACTACCACAGTCAAAATTGCTGGGTGCTCACACTTTTAAGGATACGAGTACAAGACGGAACCGTAGTCGCTGCGATAAAAAGTGAATCTGCTCCCAATAGCTCTTTCTTTTCAAATTATTGGCTTGTGTTTGTTGTTGCTGCCAGCGCTGATGTTAAGTAGGTCAGGGCCGTTGTGCTCATTGCAGCGTCTTTCACACTCATCGCATACACATTCTAACCGAATATGGTCTGCACTTCCGGCAACAACAGCTGAGCGCTAAGGCTCGCGTTTCGCGTGTGAGATTTCGTAAGAGCTTTTGGAAGCTCACTTGCCACTACTGCACAGTCGGCGCTCTCTCATATACAAGTACATAAGTAAAGTTTTGACTGTAAATCAGCAGAAATGCATTTCTGCAGAGATTTGCAGACAAACCAAAAATGTGGAGTAGCTCGGTGGCAATGCCGTTAGGAAAGCACGTGACCGGCAAAGTATTTTCAGCGGTTTTTGTTAGTGTTATGCTCGGGCATTGCCTATATATCCGGTGAATAATGGTTTTAGTACAATGGCATTTAGGAATGTCAAAATTTATTAACAGGCAATGAGTAGGAGAAATATATGACAACGCATACCACAAATATATTATAAAAGCTTTGGATAAGATGTAGGAATTCAAATTGAAGTTAGAAATAAAACTTTTTCAAAAATTGTTGAGAGATTTTCACAGTCAAAAACTCAATACACGATTCAAGAAGTGGTAGACAAACTTGGAGTTAATTCTGTTCCGCCCAGTCCGCCCGATGAAGTGTGGGCCAGAAGCCAATATATAAATATTTATATATATGTATATCCATATACCTAAGCCCTTCGGAAAAGCATCAGACATTGAAAACTGGTAGCCAAAGGCAGGACGATGGTTAAGAAACTAGAAATTGAGTAATGTAGAACTTTGTAGAGTCAGGATTAAGTACCAAACCCGCAGAGAATCCAAAGACAATGATGAAGAATATGTTTGCTGTATCATGATGTATAATCCAAAGAAACCGGTGCCATCTAAATCACGGAATAAGAGTTTACACCGAACCGCTTCCATGACGTTCGGAAGGGACTTAGAACTTTATTCTTTACACGTCTGCAAACTTGGCAGCGATACCAATAATTAATTAAGGAATATGCTCTGTCGCTACAAAAACAACAGATGCCACTGTACGAGCTAAAATCGATAGAGCATGAAAAAGATGTAACTGGGTTGTAGTTTTTTTTAGAAATGTCCATAACATACCAAACCCTTTCATTAAAATAAAATAAGACTTGAACTAAAATAAAACTTGAACTTACCGGTTTGACCAATATTCCATCATTGCGACCACTTGTACTTGTATGGTATATAGTAAACTAGATATCAGGGAACTAGCTAGAACGATGGGCCTGGACTACAGGGGAAAAGGTGTTAGATTAGAGAGTATTTAAAGAAGTTTTTAGCATCATAAATCAATAGATTTTAATTTATTATGAGATCCACAGCCAAATTGAGCTTTGATTAACGGGTTTCAACAATGAAACCGAGATCTACGTCTATAACGGTAGTTGTATGTTTTATGTAGAGTTGGATGTCAACAATGTATTGTTGGAATCTTTGTTTTAAAGCAAATGCGAACATAATTAGTATACAAAATTCCACGATAGTTGGTTTTACGGTATCGGAGTTGATCCGAATTTTATCCGGCCAAGGGCTGTCATTTCTAACACGGTTTGGCACAATAAATAGCAACAAAAATAACATCGACATATTCGGTAAGTCAAGCGTACAACCATCCTACGGAACTTCTTCGGGGATTAGTCAAGCTCAGTTAGTGGACAAAAGTAGTGAGTAAGAAGACAGATATTTTATTTTAAAAAATTACGTATGTTTCCCTAATTGAAACCAAACGATATTTCGATTTTCTATGCGAGTATATCCGATGTAACCGGAACCGATCTAGATTTTTATCCGGTCAAAGCTTTACATCTATAGTATTCAACAAAATTTATTTTGAGAATTGACAACCCATAATTTACCCCCGCTGGGCCAACTGGCTATAACCAAATTGAACGACCTTTAGGTTGAAATCACGCAGCTCGCAGTAAAGTAAATTAATATCTATGAAAGGGAATCGCTATAAAAAAAAACTGTCACTTGTAAAAATATTGGGAACTGTTTAGGGTATTTTATTTGTAATATTTTGTGTGTTTTTCTCGAGAATAGTACGACCATAACCAAATATTCATGGTATTGAGAATATTAGGTTTGCCCGAGGCCCTAGAAAGTACATATATATAGTATACTTGAATACTATACATGTAAACCTTTGAGCAGATAAAAATCAAGGTCGGTTCCGTGTAGGCAAACCCTACTGTCGTGGCACTACCTTTTTATGTTATAAGAAATGCACTTGTGCAGCGTATTATAGCTTCAGTGCAGCCGAAAACATAAACTTTTTTGCTTGTCTTTCTTTGGTCTATAAATTACTATCGAACCATGTTGAAGGAGATGCAATGAGATTTTTCTTCAACTTTTGAAAATGTGCGGATGACACACTATCTTGACTGATGGTCATTGAAAAAACACTTCTAATTAAATTTTATTTAAAAAAATACTACATTAAATTATTTTATTTGTTATTTTGGCTATTACATATTATTTAAAATATACTATACGAGTATAAAATTTATAAAAATATCAAAAAAAATATAACAGTAATAACAAAAAATTTATTTTTATTATCGAGATGAGTACAAAAACAATACAAACATAAATCAGTGGGCGTTGAAAGTAGTTAAAATTAACGAAATACAACTGTGGTGGCATTATAAATACAGTTAGAGCACCGTTAAACAGCTAAAAGTTAAATTCGCTTCTTAGAATAGCAGAGTTTAGTAAACAAATACATATAAATATATTAAATAAATTAATTATTATGCGTCATTTGGTGAATAGTAGTTATAGTTGTTGTAGTTGCAGAATTTGACGTGACACAGTTGCCACAAAGAGAAATTGACTTAATTACACAACATGCAACATTTACGTGCGGTCAACGCTGATTTATAAATAGTTTGTATATATGTATATATATAAATTATGAAATAAAAAATTGTTATAAATTACTAAATATACTTTGTGCAATTATTTTTTATAATATGCGTTTAAGTTGAGTTAAATTTTATGCGTTAATTGAAAATTCCAACGATTTTAGGCACTTTTGTGGTTTGGCGAAGGCAACCACATGCAGCGGTGTTATGTAAACACCAGGCAAACACTTGCGCCGCATGCAGCAAATGGTAATTTTGTATTTATTCAATTAGTTGGCATTTTCGTTGTGCTTGGCTTAAATACAACACACATTTATATTTTTGTTTTATTTTTAAGTGAAAATGTGCTAGAAACGCTCTGCGCAAATTCATATAAAGGCAGCTGTGGTAATATTTATTTTTTTCTCTCAAACACTTTAGCGTTTCATCTTATCTAAAATCGGTATGACCATATCGAATTTCGGTCGCTTGCCGGCATCCTCATTCATGCAGATCGTGATGAGTTTCGACATGTGCGCCGACGTGCCCGGCGGTATTTTCACGCGCAAACCCTCCAAGGCAATCTTCATGCCACACTCCATGGGTGACCATTCGGTAAACGGCACTTCACGCGTTGTCAGCTCCCACAAGATTATGGCGAAGCTCCACATGTCGCACGCCTCCCAATTCCGATCGCCCGGTTTGCGTTGCAGCGCCTCCGGTGACATCCAGGCCGGCTGGTAAATGCGACCCTTCTCTTGGAAGGAGAATTTCGCATCGCCCATATTGATGCGCGCGGTCAAATCGTCATCGATCTGGCATGATATTGTATATTGCATATATTGAGTTGGTGTAATTATAATATATACTTACCATCACGTGATGACTGTTCAAGTTATAGGTTGGTATGATGCGTTCTAGTGAGTGCAGATACGCCATACCGCGTGCTATGTCCAAGGCGCAACGCACTGCTTGCGCCGTATCCACGACAATACCAGTAGCACGGTGTAGCAAATTAAAGAGTGAACCACGTGTCATAAACTATTTAAGTATTTTTGAAGATAATTTGAATGAGATAAATGTACTATATAAGGTTTACGGCATAAGTTGCATTTTTAAACGGGCAGCAGGGTTGCAAGGGATTTTGAGTTTTTGAATTGAGGTTATATCCACTTGTGTATGTCAAAAAGTCGATTTTTAACCCTGGACCCAGGTATATTATATTATGTTTGACCCGAAGTTTTTAACCCTTATGTTAATAACCAACTTTACCGACGTCTTTTAGCAACCGGGCGCTGGGGCACCCACGATCTGAGTATTATTATTATTTTGTTTATTTTATTAAAAAAAAAAATTTCTAAAAATTTTTTTTCTTCAAATATTAATAGTCAGTGACAATTAAAAAAAAAAATAACGTAGAATAAAAAAAAAATTTTTAAAATGAACTCACAAATAGCTTTCTTTTAAGTTAAAAAACGACGATTTGAGAGCTTAAAATGAAATATTGAATTTGTTTTAAGTTATTCACACAAATACACCGCAGTGGGTACCCGGTACCAACATAAGGGTTAAGGCAATTTTTTTATTTTTGAAGGGTACTACAAAATCGGTATTGATTTAATTTGACATAATTTTAGACAGAAAAATCTTGCTATGCGCCAGACGTATTTTTCGGAGGTCCCCCTAGAGCTTGGCTACGCGATCAAGGCAATTCAGAATTTTTCAAAACAAATCGCCGAAAGTTTTCTTGTTCCTTTATTAAATAAAATTCCTATTCAAAACTAATTCTCAAAAAAAAAAAATTGTTTCTGACTTGCAAGTGGATATAACCCCATAAAGTAAAATGATAAAGTCGACGATAAATAAGCAAAATTATTGTTTATTGCGGCAGATAGGAGATAAATATAAGTGGGTTAGGAGTAGACTGGTTAGATGATTCCAAATTAAAACAGATAAGTATGAATCAGAAAAAACACAGCATGTATAATAAATGATATGATATATGAGGAAGCAGGCATTTCAAAAATTATACCAAAAAAAAAAACAAAAAACCCCAAAACTACTGCACTTACCTGACTAATTGTAATTAGATTTGGTGGTTGATTACATGCGCCAATGATAGGCAATATATTTGGATGTGAGAAAATGCGCAGCTTTGGGAACTCCTCGTTGAAATCACGCGATATGCGCGCTGTGCATTGACGCACCGCTAAAATCTGCAAAATCAAAAAAAAAAAAAAAAGTTGTCAATCCAATTGTTTCATACTTTGTTTACTCCAACGCACTTTTGCTATAACATCGTTCTTCTGCCAACGGCCACGCCATGTCTCACCCGACGGCGTACTGGCGATTTTTGTATGCAAATCCAATTCGCCCAAATTAATACCCTTAAAGCGTGAGAGTGTAGCGTCGCGTGAACGTGTTTTGGTGCCCAACCAACTTTGTTCTTTAAAGCTTATTTTCTTAATGTCATGACCATTTCGCTCAGCCAAATCCTGCAGACGCTTTGATAAACCTGCTTTGGCTTTATCTAACGGCGTATCGTTATCTTTGTTGGCAATTGAAACGAGCGCACCAGCATTGACTAGATCTTCACAGATCATATCATAACCCCAGAAGCAGGCATAATGCAGCGGCGTATTGCCGTGTTCATTTACAGCATTGGCATCGGAGCGCTCACGAATTAGCTATAGCGAAGAGAAAGTAATTGATATGATGATCTTAGTAGATAAAATCTTATTTCAACTCACTAATTGCACAATGTCGCGATGTCCATGTGCAGCGGCAAGATGTAGGGGAATATCATCGCCCATGTTGGTGGCATTAACGCGTGCGCCACGTTGTATCAAGGTTTCCACCAATTTTGTATGGCCTTCTTTGGCACACCAATGCAGGGGGCTGAAGCCATGATCATCACTATGGAAAAAAAGAGATTTAAATGTCAGTTATGATTATCAAAATTAAATTAAAAAATATATTAATAAATTCAATCACAAGCGCATGCATTCGGTCCGTCAAGTTCTAAAACGATCTGCACAAATCATGCTTCACAGTGTACCATACACCCATATCCACAGTAGTCATTGACTAAATGTCTGATTTTTTTTTGTAGAAACATATATGTTGCACAACGTGCATACATATACACATATGTTTTCATTTCGAACGAGATTTGCCTTTGGAGTATTTGTTGTTGCTCTTATTTATGTAGTGGGGCCAATTGGTATATGCAAATGTTTACACAATTTTTCAAAGCAATCAAGTATTCATCATGACGTCACTCTGCAGTTTATACACTCACTTGTGTTGATTGTTTGCCAAAAAGCGTTGGAGCATAAAGTCATCGTGGAGGCAATTACACAATTTAATTAATTGTTTTCTTACCCTAAATTCATATCATTGCCAGTATCTTCAAGCCAAAGGCGTACTTGTATTGAGTTTCCCTCACGGCACCAATGAAATATATCCTCCATATTTTTGTTTTATTCAAGACAAATTAACTAATTTTAATATGTGCACAAAATCCCACTAAATAACACTTTAAAAAATAATTTCTAAATTAATTCAACAGATTGGTTTGCAAAAGAACTTGAAGAATTTATTTAGCAATGAACTGTCAAATTCCAATGGGAGCTGTGATGTCAGAAATGGTTTAGATACTCGCTAAAGAAAAGTGTTGTAGAACTGTTTCTTAAAAAACGTTTATAAAAAGAAAAATATGAATTAAAAATACTACAATTAAACAAAGAAATGTGTTTACCAATGAAATATATGAAATAAATTAACTAAAATATAAAAAAGTAGTAGACACTATAGGTATAAATTGTTGTTGCAAAAAAGGCTTTAAGACAAATTGCTGAGCTATGTTTATTGAGCATTCTATTTTATGCACTGAAAAGATAATTTTGAAAGATCCGGCAGTATTGTATGTACATTTGTTTAAGAACGTGGTAAAAAGGTGTAATTCATATTTTCAGTAGTTTTATTAGTAAATTGGAAATAATATACAAAGATGAGGCTCAGCACATATAACTTTTTGACATCTAAAGCCATAAAAGGTGTAAAAGTTGGATTTCCGCTAAAATTAACTGTAAGTAAAACAAGTGTCGCATGTGTTTATAATCCACCGGACTCGTAACACTTGCTGCTACTTTGGAAAGAAGTTTGCAACAATTTGGGACCAATATATATTTTATGTACTTACAGATAGCTAAACAGGACGTTGTTGAAGCAGAATTCAATCCAACATTTATAGAGCGTTTACTGCCTAGACTTGACTGGATAGGTATTCGTTTGGCCGCTGAAGTGGTATTCATTTGTTTTTGTACAAAAAAAAAATCTTTTTAAACCTACGAATATTTATTTTATTGTAGACTGGGCTGGCTGAAGACATTCCTGCTGAACTACCAACAAATATCGCTGAAAACGAAGAGTTATTGAAGAAACTGCATCACTTGTTGTTGGAGATTGATGTGCTTGAAGGGCAGCTGGAATGCCCTGAAACGGGTCGTGTTTTTCCAATAACCGACGGCATACCGAATATGTTGCTAAACGAGGACGAGGTTTAAGACATGCTACTAATTTTTACCCTGTACATATTTAGTTATTTTTAATACTTATTGCTAAATTAAAACATCTATGGTTTGTTAATAATTTTGATTGAGACAATGAACTAAAATTAATTGACACAAATAGACTTAATCGTAAAATCATAAATATTACTGTTTTATAATTGATGTTATTGAAATGGAAGCAGCTTTAAGTGAATGTGATGAAGTAGGTAGAGTGAAGGTTGAAATTCTTGCCAAAATATTCAGCACTACTCATATGGTAGCAAGTAAAAGAACAGCCGGTTGTACGTTACCGGAATTTACACGGATTAAAAAGAAGTAAAACAATAAAACAGTTCAGCTCTTTATTAAAAATACAGCTTTATTCGAAAAAATATATGTTTTTTGAATTATGTTCTGTATAAGTACTCGCTAATTGTTTCAAGAGCTACAAGTCTTGATATACTTACAATACAACACTGATTACATATTCAACGCACAATATTTAAGCTACGTACATATCTGTGTGCACATGTGTTGCTAATATCAATTATTTGCATTTTTATTAGAATATTTAATATATTTTAAGTATATTCTTACGAAAATATTATTATTGTAGAGATTTTCGAAATTGGAATTACATGTATTGGAAAACACATAAGACATTGAAATTACTAAGTAAGTGGACGAATATGTGCAAATGCACGTTTTACTACACAAAAAAGTTCAAAATATCTATTGAAGTAAAAATATACATTTGGCACGCAATCACACTCAAAACACAGTAGATTTAAAATATAATATTAGAATGGTGTATACATATACATATGTATATAATTTTTGCACACATTTTTTTAATTACATTTAATGTTTGTCGTTTTCGTATTGCCAGCTGCAGCGAGTAGAGCATAAATGCTACCTTTAGCTAAACCCTTTTGGGCACCTTTGCATAGTTCCGGATTGCGTCCAATGGGTGTATAGCTGCGCTCACTTAATTTACCGGCATCTGGACCCTTTGCCAATTGTTTTTGATTATTCCCCTGTGGCATATCTCGATTGGCGCCATTCCAGGTCACATAGTCGGCGCTAAATGATGAAGGAACGCATTATTATTTGAATAAAGTAAAGAACATAAAAATTTGACGTACAGCAACAAACTCTCATCAGCGCCTTTAGCCAAATGTGCGCTGTGTCCGCTTGTAGTTATACGGCCTATGATAGATTTAAAATCTTGGCGCTGCTTATAAGTTCCCTCGCCATCGGTGGAATCTTGCTGTGTGGCGCTATTTTTGATAGTGGTGGGAATTAGAAATGTGATATGAGACTAAAATTTATATAAATATTGAAGGAAAAATAATGAAACACAAATACACATACATAGAAATACGATTAAATGCTAAACAAGTAGATGAGTGGAGTCTGAAGGATTGAAAAAAGCATGCCAACAAGTTATATATGCAGATGTTTACACAAAAAAATTTAAAAACATTTGTTTCCTACAACTTTTCAGGAATTGGTGCAAAGCAAAATATTAAAGACTCGGAAATAACCAAAAAAAAAAAAATTTAGTTTTCTATACAAATTTGTTAATCCACTCATAGAACTAAAAAAAATTTGAAAAATGTATAAGGAAAATTTGCAAATACTTGATTTTTCACGCTATATACTAAATTATTCTTAGTTTCTAAAAATTTCGAGCTTCGAGTTCTAGTTCATTCATAAAATTGAAATTAATATATTTAATACAAGATCCTAATAATTTAATGGAACTACTGAGAAACAACACTTTACCAAGTCCACGATGCAAAGAAAAATAAAAAACTATTTTTACAAATAACTTAAAGTAAAAAAATAGCATCCTTAAGAGCAAGAAAAATATTTTAAAAAAAATTAGGAAAAAGTAAAATTTCCAACAAGCATTTCACAGTTAAAGTTCAGCGTACTTTAGTGGTTCGGTCTTTTCGCGCAAACGAGTCAATTTCAATTTGTCCAAAATAGAAACCGAAGTGTTGGCAGCAGCAGAGACTGTGACTGAAGCTTTATTGGAATTCGTGCCATGCAGATATCCCTGGATGCCAGAGGCATAAGTATTGCAACGCGCCAGTATGCTTTTTGTAGTAATTTTCTGATACTCATTGGATACTAGATTAGAAGTTGATGCTGCTGAAGATGTGGATGGCAATTCGGATGATATATGAAGTTCTTTCAGAGCTTTGGACGGTGATACAGAGATTGATGTGGTCGTAACTGATGGATTAATGATTTTTGATGAGTTGGGTAAGGAGTCAACGACATCACTAGCTGCTATTACAATTGCCGCTTTTGATTCCTTTTCGTTGCGTTCAATGGAAGTGGGTGAATTAGAAAGTATAGTCTGTGTAGTAGTTGCAGAGGGTGTGGTTAGGTTTATGGAGGGAAATGCTACCTTTTTGGTACCAGTATTTCGGGTGGCGTTGATTTTTGTGTAGTATTTGAAAGCGCTGCTTTTTGCTGAAGATTGTGGAAGTGATGATGATGATGGTGATGGTAATGATGCTGATGGTAATGATGTTGATGTTGATGTAAATGGTGTGGCCGAAAATGGGATATGTATCGCTGAAGCGTTTTGACAGCTTTTGATGTCATCGTTGTAGCTATTTAACGGTGTTTTGACAACAACAGTGATGATACTGCTTAGTTCGTTTAAAGTGTTAAAGGAGGGAAAAATGATTTTTGGGGGTTATTAGCACAAATTAAATGCATATTGATTGAAAAAAAAGAAATAAGAAAGCGAAAAAGCGTAGTAGATCAAGTAGAATGACACATTCTTTACGGTTAAGATATTTTGGAAAGTGAAAAAATCATGTGAAAAAGCAGGGTTACTCACTTGTAAGCGTATAAGTTTTCATTTAAGCCCCTATTACATATTTCAACTGTATTTTGGTTAAAATTTTGAAATTCGGTAATATTGATAACAACTCAACCCTTAAAAACATTGGTTTAGGTGTTGTCAAACTTCAACTTTTTTGTGGTATTACATACGTTTTTCGACACCGAATTGATATAATTTTTGGTTGAATCGAAATTTTTTCACTTTACAAAATTACAAACATTTGATGATTTCAATTGAATGCTCAAAATTTGCGTTATTCATATATGTACATATGTATTATAATTAATTGTACATAACATTTGTAAATAGACATGAGCGAATAGTAATGCAATTTTGAGAAATAGATAGCCTCATAGCATCATCATGAAAGAATAGATCAGCAAAAAAATACGATTTTGGCGTCTATAATAAATTTGAACATTTTCGAATCTATTATATGGTTGATAGGTAATTTTTAAAGCATTTACAATTAATTACAAAAAAGTCCAATTATATATTTAGAAAACATTTTTAGCAACAAAACATACACCAGGAGGTAATTGGTGAAACATGAGAGGTCACAAGGGTTAACACTTTTTCGCACTCCGAAATTTGTCCAATACAAATATGAAGTCAAAAACAAAAATCACCAAACAATTTGTAATTACAACTAAACTCACCTATCATCAGCGCCGGTGCCACCAACTGTGGCATGCATACCGTCCGCTGCTGCACCCAAAATAACTTCGGCATCAAGTCCACTCACCGATTGCATTGCTGCATCGGTGGCAGCAGCGGCATTTTTCTTGGCATGCAGCTCATCCTCTTCTTGCACAATATAAAGAATTTGCATAGCACGATCCTCAGCATAGTTGACCGATTCCAGTGCCATGAGTATAATGCGTTCAGCTAACTGCGGAAACTTCTCCTTCATATGCGCTTGTACTGCAATGAAGCAAATAAATTATTATATAAAATTTAATTTAAAAAAAATATAAATATTTTAAAATCCGTACTTGTTGCTTTCTCCTCCGCTGTATAAACTTTTGGTTGCAACGGTATAATCGCCTCATCGGCAGCCCGTTTGGCTGCTGCGGCTGCGTGGGCGGCTTCGTGATCAGAGCGATGTGATATTTTTGGTGGTATAAAATCGCGTTTTGTATAGCCCATCGAAATAAGTTTCTCGGAAGCTGTTTGTACATTATTTTCCGAGCTGGCAAGTATGTCTAGCAGTACCATTTCATCTGCTTTGGGGAAAATCGTTTTCAAATATCTGTGGGATTGTATAAAAATTATTATTAAATATTGTCGTTAGTATATATTGAGTATAAGTTAAAACTAGCTTTCAAAACATTTAGAAAACAAAAGTGATAGCAAAGTAAAAGAAATTAAATTAAATATTTAATGATGATCCAAAAATTACATAATATTATATAATAATAATAATTATGAAAAAAAAAAAAAAAAAAAAAAAAATTAGTTTTTTTCTGTGCAAAATGTATTAAAAAATAACTTTAATTTTTTATTTTTATTTTAAATAATGTTTAATTTTTTTATGTATAAAATGCATCTCATTTTATTGAAAAATTTTTTAATTTTGTATTAAAAAAAATAATTTTCAAAAACTAAAAAATTAGTTCCTAGTTTCTTTTTCTGTACACAATTTAAATAACAAAAAATTTTCGAAAAAAAAATAGTTTCTAGATGTTTCTATACAGATCTTTATCTCTTTATGTTAATAAAATTAAATTGAAATAAAATAATGCTTAATAATGATTTAACTGTTTATTTTCAAATGTTGTCTAAAATTTAAGTTGAAATATGATATTTGTGTGATCTAACTACATGAATAGTACAAATTAGCATGAATTTTAAAACAAATTCTTTTAAAAAATATTTTTCCGTTTTGTTTTCTAAAATTATTCATTACTAAACGATTTCTTAAATTTCATTTACTTTTTCAAATTATATAGCATCAACACATTTCAAATATATTGCCTACATTTAGGCGCATTGATATCTACCAATTTAAAGTTGCTATTAATAATGTTAATATTTTGAAAATATTGCTTTTTAATTTTCCCACAGATGCCAAAAAATTATGAAATATTCAATCTGATTACTGAATACCAATGAACTCATCAAAAGAGTCTGGATGAAAAACATATTCATTTTTTTAGGTTTATCCTTGAAAATTACTCATTACAAATCAATTTTTAAAAATTTTATTCATTTATTTAATTAAAATAGCACCGATATTGTTCAAATATATTGCCTACATTCAGGCGCGTTAGCTTCATATAACTTAAAAGGGTTATTAATAGTGTGGAAACAGTAATGAAAAATAATTCGGTTAATATTTGGAAAACCTTGTTTTTTAATTTTCTACGATTTGCCAAAAAAGTATGAAATATGGCTTAGGAGGCGATAAATAAAACTTGTATGAAAATACGAGAAAATGTAGTTTTTATGTCAGTCCGGGTCATATTTGATCATATGGTATATAAATTATTCAGGATTTTCTTTTAATATGTAGATTCAAAGTGATAAGCACTTTCTTTCGTTTTATCGATTAGAATCGATTTATTTTTCTATAAATTAAAAAAATATGAATGTTACGCATACGTACTGTACAACTTAAAATCAAATTAGGAATTAAAAATAAATAAAAGTATAACATAAAATAATATAAAAGTAGTACTTAAGTTTTATATAGAAAAGTGGAGTAAAAAGAAAAACTGCTTAATAATAATATTTGGAAAAATTACCAACAACGTAAAAAATCACTGAAAATGTAAAATTAATTATAAATGACTTAAGATTTAAAATTACACTAACAACAAATCAATTATTCGTAGGAGCCCGCAAAATAAACAAAAAAAACTACAAACAGAATATTACAATAAAAGCAAATACATAAATTGCAGTTCTTAGTACTCTAGCGGACCTCAATTTCATCTTCGGCGACGAGTGCGGCTTCGGTGAACTGCGCCATTGTTCAAAGCGCGGCGAACCCTGATGAAACGGCATAGCCGCGGCAGCTGCTGCAGCCATATAGCCACCGCCACCGCCGCCAACGCCACCATGCACGCTTGTGACACTACCAAAACGGCCGCCCGGCAGAGGACTGGCTGTGCGTGAGCTGCTGCCAACTGCAACACTGCCATTGAGGCCGCGTGCCGTTATGCCCTTATCCAGGCGGCGCGTCGGTGGTGTCAAATTAAATACGGTGTTGCTATGATAGAGATGACGTTGGGCCGGCGGCGTGACATAGGGACCAGGCATGGTGACCGGATGTTTCTCCACTTGTAAGGCGCTAATGACGACGGCCTCGCGATTGTAATACCTGGACGCATATGCGTTAATGTTGTACATGCGTGTGCGTGTGTATGTTTGTAGGTGAATATTATGTGTGAATGTATGTTAGTACGAATGTGATACAACAACAACACAATTGGAGGTTAGTAACAGTTGTTAGTGGATGTTCATGTATTGTGCATGTGTGTGTGTGTGTGTAATGTAAATTAGTATTGTATGCGGTGGACAACAACAGCACATTTTGAGTTTTTCAAGCGACGAGGTAAGCGTGTAAAAGCGAAAGATTCGTGTGATTAGTAAGTGAAAAAATTTCGACATTGTTCTTTCTTTCAAGAAAAGTGCGGGGTGTGAAATTGGCAGCGCACTCACTTTTTAAGCAGCAAACGAATGTGATCCTCGCTGGCGGTGGGAAACATATTTTGTATTTTATTTACCACCAAATCCGTGTCAATAGGATTTGTGAAGGAAGTCTCCTGTATGGTCGAACGTCGGGACATATTACCCAAGCGTGGCGTCTGTGTCAGTGAGGAGCGTTGCATACGCAGCGGTGATAATTCCTATAATGTGTAAAGTTTATAAAATAAAATTTTATTAAAATATTTTTAAAAAAGTTAAAAGCTTTGTCAAAAACTCACCAAATTTCCGCGAGAGGACAACAACGGACTGGATGACATGTTATGCAAACTTGTGTTGGTGCAAGGACCGGCGTGAAAGGCACGTACTGCCTGCAAATTGTTGCTTGGATACACGTGATAGGGTGAGCCGTTTATTGGCTGCACAAACAAATGCACGAAACAGGGTGTATAAGAGTGAAGAAAATTAGAGGAATGTATTAAATAATATATATCTATATATACATACATACTGTAAATCTATATACAAGTATATAAAAAAAAACAAGAAAAAACGTCAACTTCAGCTGCAATGAAGCTATAATACCCTTCACGGGGGCGTTTTTTATGGCATAAAAGCGTATAAAAATATTTTTATTTTGAGTTTGATCGGTCAGTTTGTATGGCAGCTATATACTGTGTCAAATTTCATGAAAATATCTTGACAATTAAAAAAGTTTTCCATATAACAACTTGTTTGTGATAGGTCAGTTTGTATGGCAGCTATATGCTATAATGGACTTATATCGGCAATTTCGACAAATGACCAACTTCTTGGGGCGAAAAGGAAATGTACAAAATTTCAGTTCAATATCTCAAAAACTGTGGCAACTTACCTGCATCGCTATGGATTCCGTGGAGCAGCGTTCGTTCTGCAACTGTTTATAGCGGCCGCGCGGATCCTCCAACTGCATTGCTTTTGTGAAATAGTTTATGTAGTAACTGTAAAGCGCAAAAGAGAAAAGGCAATCATAAATAAATGTGCCACTAAGTAAATATATATAAAACTGTATGCGCTGGCAAATAACTATAACTTAAACTACGCGCAATTATGTAAATTACAGCAAGCCTATTATGCGTCCTTCCTCATTCGGCCATGGAAATGTCCTCGAACTGCTGTGTAGTTGTTATTTGCTGCCCTTTTTCGATTCTGCACACATCGAAAGTTGAAGGCTTTCAATAAGCTGCATTCATGGTGTTTTGTATGCATGTGTGTGTGTGTGTGTGTGTGTGTATGATGGCGGAGCGATTCACGGTAAAGAACAAGGACATTGCATTGCCTTGGAAAAGTATTTTGCGCAAGTGTGTGTGAGTCTATGTGCAACTTTGCGGTTTGCAAATGTATGCATGTGCAGACTCTAAAATGTGCAATGAACAGGGTTGCCAAGCGTAAATAAAATCGAAAGATTGCTCGAACACGTAATTTTTGACCAAATGGCGGCTTCCCCCAAATAAAATAGATTTTTATGAAAAAATTTACACTTCAGAGTTGCTTAATAAATCATAATTTTTAAAAAATCTTTTTTCTTCTATCATTACATGACAAATACATCAATGGAGATCGTGTGGAAATTTCAAGTTGATCGGTCCAGCCGTCTCGGCGTTGTGGCGCAGTTTTGTTAACCAGCTGTTATATTATATAAGGGCTGCCGGATTTTGCAGCAGACACAATTTTAGTTAGAGTGTTGCCGTGTTAAGAGCAATTGAGTTATAAGTAAGAGGTTGCAAGCTCGGATAATTAGTAGTAAAGCATTAATTTGTTTTAATTTTAAATATAGATACACTTGTTTTGAGATGCTTTTAACATGAAAGACCCGCAACCACTAAGAGTACAATTAAATCCTATATAGACATATAAAAATAATATACTGTAGAAATATGACTGCTTTAGAAATTCAGCTAACCAAAGCACTTGGCAATCATTGCAGCTTTACAACAAAAACAATAATTTACTTGGTGTTTTTGGTACAGATTTACGTGACTCTGTTTACATGCGCCAGCCTTCACTCACACTCTACATACATATATATGTATGTATATGCAGTTTCGAACATATATGTATCCAGATATCTGTGTATGTGCCTTAGCAAACGAAAAGTCAAAGTCCTTGAGTTAAACAGCAATTTCACCGGTTGTCATTTTTGTTTGTATTCGCCCAAAGTTAAGGACCTTTCTGGCACAATTTTCCTACGATATATGCGCATACATAAACATTTAATTGCATTCATTTATTTATTTGTATTATATTTTAAATTATGACACGTGATAAACACAGCACTTAGCTATGAAGTGTGGACTTTTAGCGAAAAAAAATATATGTTGAGGGTTGCGAACGGAGCAATGACAGCAGAAGTCACTTGAAAATCTTCATGTTTTCTTTTTGAAGCTAAACTGGTTTAGGGATAACACACACACACATGCAAGCATAAGTATCACTGGATATACATATGTATATATGTGTAGCATACTCGTATGTATTAACTGGTATGACTGCTTTAATTTAAGATAGCGAAATTCCTGCACGTTTTCAAGCTTCAGCTCATATTTTCCCTTTAACATTTGTTGAGTCGCATAATGTTCACTTTTACTTCTTAATTTTGAGAATTTTTTTTATAATTTTGTTGCAAGAATTTTTTACCAAAAAAATATATGTAAATTAGAGAGTTATCATGCAAGCTTATACAATTTTTTTAACATGTAGAGACGTTACTCAGTTTTAAAGTTAAACTTTTTATTTCGTAAAAAATATTGATAAGTGTTCAAGAAGCTGTGGAGAATCCTCTTTCTGGCCAATGAGAAGTTATCAACTTAAAAAAAATGTTGTGATCGTTAAAATTGATTAATTTTGAGTCAAAAACCGTCACATTCGGTAATTTCTATATAAATCTAAAGAGTTTAAACTAAAAATAATTTTTTCTTGTCCAAAAAATATTTTAACTGTAAATTTACGTTAAAACTGATTGCGCCGTCTCTAGATGTCCTAATCTACAGATTTTACCCTCAGGCGAAGAAAAAAAATTTTTTTTTTTCGCTTCTTCCTAATGTATACTGAATGAAGCTTTGAGTAAATTTTACCAATAACTCCCGACTGAAATTTAGATTGTTATGTTTGCTTGTTGACAGTATGAAACGTTCCCGGCATAGTTGAATCTAGGTAATGAAAACGGAACCGGATCTATATATATAACTATATGCACTTTCGCCTTGGAAGCATATTTTCCTATGGAATAGTTTTAGACATTTTCAGAGATAGCGCGCTGGTCTCATTGGTATGTCACCTAAGCATATATCTAGACACAAAATTTTCGCTCTCCAGACCTCAAAACTCAGTATTCCGTTTGCATTCTACGAAACGATACGACGAAGACCCTGTAAATTATATATATAAATGATCAACATGACGATCTGAGTCGATTTAGCCATATCCTGTTTGTCCATCTCTATATTTGTGCAGATATCGATCTGTAATTTTGTACACGTCCATTTCCCCCAAAGAGCTGATTATTCGTCCGACTGTACCGACCTATCGGACCACTATAGCATATAGCTGCCATAAAAACTGCACGATCGAAATCAAGTTGTTGTATAGAAAACATTTTTAGTTAACAAGACATCTTTACAAAATTTGGCACAAATTATTGCCCAAGGGAAGGTAGCCTCTAGAGATTTAGTTAAGCATATAGTTGCTATAAGAAATTATTTTTATAAAATTTGTTGCATAATTTTAAATAATTGCGACCATATATTGTCAGACTTTTTTTTAAACAATTTTATACAAATTTTGTATTAAATTTCGTATTATTTTTTGTATTTATTTTTTCATATTAAAATGGTGGTAAAATATTGATTGTATTAATTAAATATTTTTGTATATCACTTTAATTTTAAGCTGGATTTTCATTTTCATTTATTAATTTAATTTTTCATTTTTTTAATGTATTTGATATTTTACCACCTGGATGTATGTAAATTAAAGCAAACCCAGCAGATACTGCATGATTTAGAACAAGTTACAATTATGCACACACATACATTTTTATGCAAAACATTTCAGATTCTACGACATTAAAGCAAATGACAGTTGTAGCATCACCAACAACATTTCTACATACAAATATGCGTACTTGAATGCCTCAACCATATACCCACAAGCTTAATTAGTGCGCGTGACTTTTGTGCATTTTTCTACATTGCTGCTTTTATTTGCAAATTCAAAGGATTTGCATATCCTTGATATCCTTGATATGCAAACATATTTTATTTGCATAACTGGGGATTTCGCATTCTAAATAGCTGCACAGGCGGCGTTAAATATTATATATGAAGATACACATATGTGTATATATATGTATGTATGTCTGAATGTAAGCATGTTTTTATGTTAGCATGTATTGTTGTGCACATATTTAATGTCTATGTATATATGTATGTGATTTATAATATTCGCATAAAATGCTAAGTAGGCGCACAAGTAGCTCTTCAAGTCGCTGTCGACCCATTTTTTAGGGCTACAAAGTGCTTTAATTACACCTTAGTCTATTTGCTTGGTGTTGAAAAATTAGAATAATAAATAGGTAGATATTATAACCTACTTATTATTATAATTTTTTTGTATTTTTTATTTAACTTTTTCTATTTAATTTTTTTTTTACTTAACTTTTATTTATTTATTTCATTTTTGTTATTATTATTATTTTGCTTATTTTAATTCTTATTTATTTATTTCTTTTTTATTATTATTATTTTGTTTATCTTTAATTATTATTATTTATTACTTGTTTTTTATTGCATATTTTTTTACATTTTACCTTATTTCATTTTTTTTATTATACATTTTTTTATTATTTTCTCATTCACATTAACTTTTGTGAGCTTCACCTTATCTATTCACCCTAAAAGTATGCTAGGCAAGATTTTAATTCGAAAACATGTTTCCTGCCCCTCAAAATGTTTATGGCAGCCATTTTGTATAACTCTACACACTTCCTTAAAATCTGCAGCGGAATTCCTGACTTGTCTGCCGAGCAGCAAAAGCTGTCTACAGTACGTTTCCTTTGCCTTTCACACGCCCATTTTGAAATAGTTTCCACTTACAACTACGATAGTTAACAAAAAGGAACAAAAATAACAATAGCACATACCAATTTCCTGTTGCTTGGTCGTATTTACAATCCCAGCCGGGCGGCAATTTCTGATATTGTGCTTTAGCATCTGCCATTTTCAGTGAATTTTAAATTAATTAAACTTTTCAAGCTTTATTTCATACACTACTAGCACTTTTGCACTTGTCTTGCTGGCTTCACAGTTTATTTACAGTTTATTTTCTTGCGAATTGATGTCCTTGTCGGCAGCGCAAGTCCCAAGTCGCCCGTTTTTGTAGCCTGTGTATACTAAATGGAGCTAGAGAAAGTGGTGTGATGCGCATTCTGGGGGTTGTAAAGTCACACACCAACACAAACCCACGTACATGTATATAAACATATGTATGTGTGTATATGTGTGATAAACACTCAGTTCACGTGAAGCTGTATTCGCGCTGCGTTCTAAACTTTTCCACTACTTTACACTTTGAGTTGCGGTCACGTACTGACTTCTGTACGAATTCGGTGCGCTTTTGATGCTTTTGGGGTAAACGCAGTGTCCGGCATCTGTTGTATACGCACAGCTCACATTTCGTTTGATTGCTTGGAGCTGGCGTTCTTCGAACTTTCGAACTCGCACATTTTCGAATAGCTGATGGGATGCGCGTTGTGCGCCATGCCGCAAATGCCAGTGGTTGAGGGCCGGGCATGTGGGTTGCTGAAACGGTAGATGCGCCGTTGGTGGGTTGCTGGTGGTGGTGCAGCGTCATTGTAAATGCGAATGCGCGTATAAAAACAAATGACGAATAATTTTCAATACAATTTCATGTGTATGTATGAAAATGTGATTTTCCTTTGTTTTGTTTTGATCCGCTCTCCTCAGTTACGGCGAGCTGACTGGCACCGGTTGCTTGAAAGTTCAGCGCGTATAAAATGAATTTGGCGCGTAAAAAAATTAATAAGTACAAAAAAAAAATATTTATATGCGCTGCTGCTAGTGTGGCAAGTATTTGATAAGGCACGGGAAATAATAAAAAATAATTTAATGTAGTCTGGACAACTGACTTCGGAGGGTTCAAATAAATGTAGTTACATATGTACATTGTTGAAGTGGGATGTTCGCGCTATTTGTTTGTTAGTTGCAGTAGAAAGGTTGTGATGAATATATATTCGTATGTATGCATCTACATACATACATATGTCCAATATTCAACTAATGATTGCCAGACGTGATGAGCTTAAATTACATTAGACAATGTTTATCAGCAAACATACACACACACATTTGAATATTGTATGCCATATTTAATATAGTATGTGCAGATATGTGTACTTCTTCATATATAGTTATAAATACATACACATACATGATATACATATTAGGGTGCGCAAAAAAAAATTTTTTTTTTAGATTTTTTTTTCTTAGATAACGTAAAAATATCGTTCGAAATTACGGTTTTATTATTTTGAGGCATTATTTTATGATATAATAGAAAAAATAGTAAAAATTATGCTTTATGATATAGGGTTGGATTTTGACCTAAAATAACTTTTGAACGGGTCGACTTGGCAAAAAATCATTTGGAATCTTTTCGTAGGTCGTTAAATTCCCTACAAGAATAGGGTATTATCTTCACTATATGGTAATTTTTTCAAAGTATTAAACCTCCAAACAAATTAAGAAAATAGTGCTGTGATATAAATGTTAAGTATGTGCATATGTATGTATATGGAATATCAAAAATATTATCAATATTAAGTGCTGAAACTTTAGCCGAATTTTTTACTTATTTTATTTTTTAATATTTGAGACGATATTTTCACAGTATCTAAGGAAAAAAGTTAAAAGTTTTTTTTTGCCCACATTATTATACATGTTTATCTGTATTTTTATACTTGTATGCACGATATTCTTATTAAACCTAATTGTTTTCACTGTATGCCATTTAGCATTTATTTAACAACACAAGCGCATAGCTACATATACAATAAAACAACATGAGATGACTGTCTCGCAATCGCTTATGGCATTTATTCATTTAAGTATTTTAGAATTATTTTATTTGTAAGTAATCGCTTAATGGTCATGTGAGTTCGCCACAATGAGCTGGACACTTGAGATGACGTCATGCGTGGCGAAGTCAGCGCTAAATTTTATTTTTCGGCTAAGCATGCATTCCGTTACAGTGTTTATTTATCGTTTGCTTTTTTTTCTGAAACACTGTTTGCATTTTTGCGCTTAGCTAATTGTATAACTCATTAAGTAAATATTTTAATTTACTAGCAAAACACTAAGTTAAATTAGTCGCACTTTCTTAGATGATTAAGATACCCTGACAATGTACATATGCAGTTGTGTTTTATTGCTTAAAGCTGAAAATATTGAACAAATGCATATATACCTGCATGTAATATACTGAATGTATTGTATATTACATTGCAGATCTAATTCTATGATCTGTTATTATCGTATTTCCAAATGCATAAAATAATATACACAAGCTCAAAAAAAAAAGAAAAAAAATTTAAAAAAAACAATAAAAAACCTTTAGTTTATTACATATATTATATACATATTAAAATAATATGTTTGGAGATTGTAGCCTTGCCTTAAACAATAGTCTATGCCAAATTTCGAGAAGATACTTGTCAAATGAAAAAGTTTTCCATACAATAACTTGATTTTGTTCGCTCAGTTTGTATGCCAACTATAAACTATAGTGCGCCGATATCGGCAATTCCGATACATGAACACATTCTTGGTGAAAAATGGATCTCAAGAACTTAGGGAGCAGTACCGTTTTACTTTTTCAGTAGTCCAAATTTCGACGATTATATTAATCGCAGACCTCTACGTGAGTTCCGAAATTTCGGTATCTTAAAACAAAGAACTCGGGGTTCTGAAAATTTGTTTGGACATAGAAAATATAAAACGGTAAATGGTTCAACGTTAAAAGTGTTTAATGTAAACAACAAAAAAAACAAAAAGGACTAAAGACTCTTACAATTAATCTAAAAGAGCAGTAAAAACTAAACCAAACTAACGACTTGCTTATGATTTAATTCAGGTATATATGTATATTAATATATATAACGGTGTTCCAGTATTTTAACCAGAATGTTGAGAAAGTATTTTGGGGTGTATACTTTATGGCGAACATAAGTATTTGAGGGGCACAAAGCATTCAATGAAGGTCGTAAAGTCATTGAAAACTTGCCTCATGTCAGTCGTCCATCCACCTTTGATGATATTTTTTTTTTGAGATATCATGGAGAAATAGGAGAGAATCTCGACATCTCTAATGGATCGATTCAACAAAATGTTAATGTAGAGTCGTACCAAAATACCTGAATCTTCGACAGACATAACATCGAGTAAAAGTTGCAAAGGACCCCACATTATTCAACGCAATATTACTGGTAACGAGACGTGCGTTTATTATTACGACGACAAAAATTTCTAACAATCTAGCCAATGGCGCTCCAAAAATAAGCCGAAACTAAAAAAACAAAAATTCGTTAAAGGCAGTGAAGGCCATCTCAGCCGAGGCTTAAACCAAGCATGCGGAAAATTGAATTAAGTATTGGCATTTTTGTATTGGATCAGAAGCCGATAATAAAGATTTGTATTAAATACCTGAAAATTTGTTTTTGTGTGCAGTCCGGGTCAAATTTGATCAGATGGTATTATTGCCTTAGAGTTCAGTAACTTAAATTTAGCATTGGTTTAACATATTTTTTAAATTACACATATATATTTAGAGATTTTGCTGCAAAACTATAAGTTTTCCGATTTATAATTGATCTAAATAATATTTTGCCTTGAAATAATTAAACTACAACGGTTAATATCATTTAAAATCGTAAGAGACTTTTTTGTAGAGCATTCAATTTCCTACAAAATCTATGAAACGAAATAATTTTTCAAGTAGTTTTATCTGTTAATAAGAAAAAACAGAAAACTTTAAGACGGAGCACCTTCCCGTGACAATTATGAGTTCATATTTGGAGAGACTTTCTACTTGTAAGAGGTACCTATCAACCAATTTTTCAGATTACCAAGGGAAAAAAACTTTCGTGTTTTTTAGCCACCCTAATATATGTATATATTAAATATATATTTGTTTACTCTCCTACTGATGCGCTTTTCAAATCAGTAGAAGCTGCATTATAGGGTCACAAAGCAACTAATAATTAAACTAATCTTGCTTGCAATCGAACACACCTACCCGTACTTGTATTTACTTATGTATTAGACTCACCTCCATAAACACATAGAAGCATAAACTTGTCTACATTGTTTGTTCGCATCTTTAACGAAGGAAAATAAACATACATACACACTTAACTACTTATCAGTTCAGCATTATTCTACCTTACCGACAGTTTTCAAAGTTGTCAACAATTTTAAGAACACTTATTACGAGTATTAACTAACAATCAGCAAATACGGCATGCGAAAAGAGATTTGCAGATCCAAAAACAAATATTGGCATTACTTTTGTTATCAAACAAATCGCGAGCACTTGAGTGTATTAAACTGAAATTCGAGACTAAATATAGCCTAGTCCCAAACTGTGTTGTTTGTTGATGAAAAATAAGTACATACACATCGCTATATTTATACGTACTAGGGTGGGTAAAGAGAAACGATTTTTATTTTTTGACATTACAATCTGAAAACTTTTTAGTGAAGAAACCAGGTTGTAAAGTCAAAAAAAGAATCGGTTTTTAACCACCCTAGTACATGAAAAAAAGAAAAATGTTTTGGTGAACAAACCAGATTGTAAAGCAAAAATAAAATAATAAATATATAATCCATTTTTGAAATAATCCCTTTTTTTTTACTCAGCAAACAATTTTTCTGAAACTGAAATGTGCTTTTTTTTTTTAAAAAACTGAAATGTGTTTTGAAATAATTAGTTTTTTTTTTTTAATTTTAATTATATTAAATTAAATTTAATTTTTTTTGATTAAATGATTTTTATTTTTTCCACCCTAATATAATATATATGTACATATCATGCATATAAAAAGCTGACTTTAATTAAAAGCTTTAGCCGCAGCCACGCGGCTTAAATGTTCAATCAAAAAGCTTGTTTGTTTTTCATAAATTATTATATATATATGTATTAAAACAGTAAAAGTGAAATGCGCTTCAAATGCCATAACAAAAAAAAAAAAATTTACATCTTAAATTTTATAATCAATAGGCACATCATGGATATGTTAGCACTGACATATGTACACAACGGTACATATTTGAAGCCAGTAAAACCGGCTTAAATTCTACAGCAAATGCAATTACATATACATATATTAAATGCAACCACTGTTAAGCTTTAAAATATATATGTATGTTTGTCTTTTGTTACTTAATTAAAGCTTAACGGTTTAATATTTAAGCGTTCGGCTAAAGCCGCACAAGTCTTTAGTTGATTTTCCAAATACTGAATGCCGCCAGCTTTGTCCACCGCTTTCATATTCAAGTCCTCTTTGTCACCAGCGACCAAGACGGGCTTGGAGGGGTCGGTCTGTAAGGAAGGAAATTAATTTATATTTCCAACATTTTAATTTTAGGTAAAATTATTAATTGTAACTTCTTTAATAAAAATTAATTATTTTTTTATTTTATTTTTCTAATTATTTTTTTTTTTGTATTTTTTTAAATTATTTTGTTAAAAATATTTTTAATAATGTTTTACACTTTTATTGAAAAAATAAAAATTTCATGATATAATTTTTTTAAATTTAATTTAACTTTATGTAAAAAATAATATTTTAATTGTATTAGATTTTTTTATGTGGTTAAGTTTTTCTTGGAAAATATAATGCTTTATTTTTTAAACGTATATATGTATATATTTTTAAATTTTTACTATCAACAATATTTCAATTTTAAATAAACTTTTTTAGTTTCCATTTGATTATTAAGAATATTAATGCATGTTCGTTTTTTAAATTTTAAGTAAATATTTTAATTTTTGTCAAAAAAATTAATTATTTTTATAAAATTTTTGTTTGAACTTTTTTCCTAAAATTTCTTATGTTAAATTATTTCAAATATATCAGGAGAACCTTTTTTTGATGAAAAAAACTAAAAGTTATATTATATACCATACATTTCGTGATTAATTTAGGGTTATGTAAAAAAATTGTTTTAATTGTAAAAAAAAATTATGTATTTATTTTTATCTTCGGAAATATAAGATTTTATTTTTTCCAAGACAACATAAATTATAATATTTAATTATTGCAGTTTCAAAATAATTATATACATTTTATAAAAAAAAGTTTTATATTTATTTTAGATAAAATATTTTACTTTAAAAAAAGTTTTAGTTTCAATTTTATTATTAGCGCAAAATTTTTAAAATTTTTTAATATAAAAAAGTTGTACAAAACATATTTTAAACAAGTAAGGAAGGGCTAAGTTCGGATGTAACCGAACATTTTATACTCTCGCAAAGTCAAATAGTATACTCGTTTAAAGATTTCTTTGTGGATTGGCTGATATTTTCGGTAGAAGGTCAACTATAGGCACTGGGGTCCACATATTTAGTACTTAGGGGCTTAAACAGTTTTGGTTCGATTTAGACAATTTTTGGCCACAAGGTGGCATACTTTAATCGCATTATTCACGCAAAGTTTTATCCCGATACAGTCATTGTTGCCTGATTTGTATAGTGGAAAGTGAAATAATCAGATGGAATTTAAAATGGTGTTATATGGAAAGTAGGCGTGGTTGTAGTCCGATTTCGCCCATTTTTGCACTGTGACATAGAAACATGAAAAGAACGTTATGCACCGAATTTGGTTGAAATCGGTTAAGCAGATCTCAAGATATGGGTTTTCACCTAAAAGTGGGCTGTGCCACGCCCACTGTCTAATTTTGAACGCGGTTCCTATAAAGTCATCTCATACCATATCAGAGATAAAATTTAATGACTCTGGCGTGTTTAGTGCTTGATTTATCGCGCTTTTAGTAGTTTTTAACAGTACCGTTATATGGGGAGTGGGCGGAGTTGCCACCCGATTTCAACTATTTTCACACCGTCAATAGAAGTGCTAAAAATATTTGCTTCCAGTGAATTTTGTTATTATAGCATTAGCGGTTTAGGAGATATGCACATTAAACCTATTACGCCCATCTGCAATACCAACCGTCTCACGGTACCATGAAACATGTCTACCAAGTTTCATAAAGATATCTCAATTTTTACTCAAGTTAGAGCTTGCACGGACGGACGGACAGACGGACAGACGGACGGACAGACGGACGGACGGACAGACAGTCACCCGGATTTCAACTCGTCTCTTCATCCTGATCATTTATATATATATAACCCTATATCTAACTCGATTAGTTTTAGGTGATACAAACAACCGTTAGGTGAACAAAACTATTATACTCTGTAGCAACAGGTTGCGAGAGTATAAAAAGTTATACAGAAATTTTTAATAATTAAAAACTATATTCAATGAATTCAAAAAATGTTTAATATCTTTTTTTTTTTTTAAACGATATTATTTGTATTCTTTCATATAAAGTTTATAGAAAAATTCTTCAATCTCAAAAAATAAATATTATGTTTAAAATTAATAATTTTCTTCAAAAAAATATTTTTTATTATTCTAATAAAACTTTTTCAGAAAGTACTAAACAGTTTTTGTTATATATACATTAATTACATTTACACATATTTTCCTACTCACCGGTTCGCAGCCACGCAGACGGCCGTTAAAGTCCGTCATACGATCTTCAAAACCAGGCGCGAAGCAACTGGGATCCACAGCAATGAACACTTGACCCAAATCGGCGGCTGTATTTGCGCCCGCATGCGTCCACTTACGCACTTTCGTCGAGTAGTTGGCGCCCGCTGAGACACCAGAGAGTATATCCACCATAGCGCCTAGACCATAACCCTTGTAACCGGAGGAGATTTCCGGGCCACCGAGTGGCATTAAACAGCCCGTGCTAAAAGCCAGTTCAGCATCATTTGTTTGATTGCCTGTTGGATCTTGCGCCCAGCCATCGGGCAACGGGTCACCTTTGCGACGTTGGATTTCGATCTTACCCACGGCGACGGCAGTGGTAGCCATATCCAATAGGAATTTATCATCCTTAGCGGGTGCACCAAATGATATTGGATTCGTGCCTAAAGCAGCCTCTTTTGAACGTGTCGGCGCCATTAGTGGTGATGTGTTCGTCGTGGTTATGCCCATTAAACCCTCTTTCAGTGCACGAAGCACATACCATGAGGCGATGCCATAGTGATTCGAGCCCTTGGCACATACCCAACCGACACCAACCGCTTTCGCTTTTTTAATAGCCAAATCCATGCAGAAATTACCCACAACTACGCCCAAACCATTGCGGCCATCCACCCATGCAGTGGAGGGAGTTTCCTTAAGGATTTCGGGTATGGCACCACCATCGGTCGAGTTTATCGCCAAGTCGTTAATATACATTTCCAGCCGATTCATGCCGTGGCTGAAGTGACCGCGGTAATCAGCACCAACCAGCAGATCGGCCATGGCCTCAGCATGATCCTTGGGCACGTTGACGGCCAGAAAGCAGTCGGTCATGAAACGCTTGGACTCGGCGACCGCCACCAATTTGGGTTGTTGAACACTCGACATTTTTCGGTGGGAAATGCGACGGTTATCTAAAACAAAAATACGAATTCTTTTATGCCGAAAAGTTCAAAATTTCTTTAATTTTGTTGCACAAAAATCGAGCCAAATAAACGGATACGACGATCGCGTTCGATTGTCCACGTACGAATGAAATCCGTTGGATTGGGTGGCAGATATTTTCGTTAAAACCTCGCAAATAAATGAGTGTAGCGCAAAACGAACACGCGTTTGTCGAGCTTAACGACGGCGCGGACTGCGCAGCTTAGTGTCTTTGATCTATTGTACATGGAAAAAGTATTGGTTTGCATGTATGTGTGTGTTTGTTTGTGCTTTGTTTTTAAATTGGTCATTTTACGTTGGAAGCTTATAAAATTTTGTTATCAGGCTTTGCTTAAAAAAATTAAGGGTCGTGGTATGCGAAAAAATAACAACAAAGTCAACACGAGCAGAAGTCTGCTTGACAGCACCACAAATGGGCGGCATGTGTACGATACTTATTTAGATCTGTTGTGTATATACACACATACAATTTTCTACTACACAATGGTTCAAGATGATGGATACACTTATTAAATATGTTCTATGAAAATTCTAAAAAACAAGATTTGTGGAAGTAAATACAGATATTAATAGAAAATTTATATTTGAAACATATATTTTTGAAGACGCCAAAAAACTTGCTGGCACACTCTCGCTAAAAGGAACTTGTGTACATACAAAAATATATTTTGAAATACTAAGTTTTATATATCTTTAAAAATTTGCACTTGTAGACATGATGTACCTAAAAATGTGAAATTATTTTTTACAAATATAATCTTGTATTTTATATAAATTTTTTGGAAACTACCATATTTCTACAGGACATGCCAGGTTAAAACAAACAAAAGAGAACAGAAAAAACGTTAACTTCAATTGCACCCTTTACAAATAAAAAAGTTTCCTTATAAGAACTTGATTTTAATAGCTCAGTTTGTCATCCGATTTTAACAATTTGTTTCGAAATTGTACCGTTGACTTGAAAAAAAATTTCGTTCTAAATTTAGTGGAGATATCTCGTCAAATAAAAAAATTTCCATAGAGGGCCTTGATTTTGATCGGTCAGTTTATATGGCAGCTATATGCTATAGCGGTTCGATCTGAATAATATGTTCTGAGATTGTAGCATTACCTTGAACAATAATCTACGCCAAATTTCGTGAAGATATCTTGTTTCATATAAAAGTTTTCCATACAAGAACTTGATTTTGATGGTTCTGTTTGTATGACAGCTATATGCTATAGCGATCCAATACCGGCAGTACTAACAAATGAACAGCTTAGTAGCTTTATTGTATGCAAGTACACGTCTAAAAATTGTTGAAATCGAAACATAAATTTCCAGAATGCTACATAGCGAATATGTGGACCACAGCGTCTATGATTGCCTTTTTGCCAAAAATATTGACTAACCTGTGAGATTATTCAAATTGGGAGAAAATCTCTTCGTGATAAAAGTTTGACTGTTGTGAAAAAATGGGTAAAATTAGATCAATATTTTCCCAAGCCCACATATACCCAATATAAAAATTTTTAAATTTTCAGTTGAGTTTATACCACATACATATGTATATAGATCAATATGTGAGTAATCTTAATGGAATTCAGAGAGCGTCTCGCTTTAATAACAGTGTGTCCTTGTGCATAAATTTAATCAAATCGGGTGAAAGCATCTCCTAGCTCCCATATACCCGATATAGTGATTTCCGCTTTTCCAACTGACTTCAGATCCTTTATTGGTCAATAGGTGTGTTATAATAAAATATATTTTTTAATATACTTAAGTATGTACACAAAATTTTGCCAATACCTAAAGATATGCCGCCGACTTTTATCTTTGAAAATTGCAAGAGTATAAAATTTTCGGTTACACCCGAACTTAGTGCTTCCTTACTTGTTTGTATATAAATGTCATTTAAGTGCACCTATTACTTTGAACCGTTGTGTATTATCAGGTTTTTAAAACATAAGTTGAATACAAATATAAATACATTTATAAAATTTAATGTTTGTTTTCTCCCAGACACCACAGTATATGTATGTACGAATATGTATGTGTGTGCCTTGCGAATTTTTAGATAATGCTAATTTTATTTATAAATTGAATTTTATCAGCCTCATCAGGCATACATGTATGTATGTATGTATGTATACTGTATTTGTATTTTTGATAGGCTAATTGTATAGTTTTTATTGATTTTGTATTAATGGCAATTTAATGGAACTTAATAAATAATTTAATTTATAAATATTTTTATAAAAATTAATAAACGAATTTAAGATTAAGCAACCACAAATCTAGAGGAAAAAATCTCAAGATTTTTTAACAAAACAAATTGTCAAAAATTTCCCCGTTTTCAAGTACGCGCGAAACCAGGTTAAAATTTCCTATCATTCATATATTTTTATAGCAAATAGCAATTATTTATTGTTACTAAGAAACTTTCAACTACGGATAAGGTTCTCATTCATTATAAACAATTGATAACACAAATTACACATAACACAATTAAGACAAATTACAAACGTGGCATGACACACACAAACATAAAAGGTAAACGTAGTGTGATTGATATTTACAATTTGATTAAATGTAAGCCTTGAACTTGAGAATTAGCAGCGCACGAGCCCTTCACACACGATTTTTTTTCATTAAAGAAAAATATTACATATATAACATACATAACATACATATGTATGTACAAGATGTATACGTATTCCGAAGTGTCACAGAAAGGGGTGTGCGTCACCATTATGTAAAGACCTCAGAATTAACTGTTGCGACGATCAGCATACAAATATACTTACAAAATGGAAAAAATTAATATGGAAAACAATGGCTTGTGCCAAATAATAGATATAGTATTTTGCATTTGAAACAAGTTGTCGGAAACGTGTAGTGAAAAATTTTGCGGTATCGCAACAAGAGACTGGTCCTCAACTACTTCTTTTGAGCTCGAACTTATACTAGTTGTTATAATCGAAATAAGGGTAAAGCACACCAAGGAATTTAGTAAAGATCGAATTGAATTCAATACCACGATATTTTTTAACCTAATATTTTGTATGAGAAAACTTATATAATGTTCAAAATTAAAAAAAAAATTAACGGAAGTCAAAACTTTCTTAAAATTGATTTTTTAAAGGCTTTGTAAATCAACACTCAATGCACCGAAGCTATAATACCCTTCACAAGCGAATTTCTCACAGTATAAAAGGCTATACAAATATTTTTATCTTAATATTAATTGGTCAGTTTGTATGGCAGCTATATGCTATAGTGCTTTGATCTGAATAATTTGCGCGCAGATTTTAGCGTTTCCTTGTACAATAATTGATGCCAAATTTCATGAAGATATCTTGTCAAATAAATAAAATTTTCCGTACAAAGAATTGAAGTTGATCGATCAGTTTGTATGGCAGCTATATGCTACAGTGGTCCGATCTGAACAATACGTTCGAAGATTGTAGCATTGGCTTAGGCAAAAATCTCTACCAAATTAGGTAAAGATATTTTGTGATATACAAACATTTTTGATACAAGAACTTGATTTGGTTAGTTTGTATGACAACTCTGCATATACTATAGTGGTCCCATATTGAGCAGCTTCTTGGGGAGGAGAGAACGTGTGCAAAATTTCAAATCGATATCTGAAAAACTGAAAGACTAGTTCGCGCATATGCATACAGTCAGTGGAACAGACGGACCAACGCCGCGATAATCTGCAACACTTAAATTTCATGTGTGGTTAAGCATCGATAATATCGCGAATAAAGTGTGTGAACCGTGAATTTTTAATATTATTTTTCTTCCTTCTGATTTCAATGTTGTTGTTTATACAATAATACATATATACTCGTGATCTTGTGTTCGTTATGTAATAGATTTCGCGAAAATTTTAATCGTATGCGTACAAATGTACATAAATACTTTTTTTCATACAGTGAAACTTTCTACTTAAAATATTCTCTAGACCTCGTACAACGATAATGAACTATCACTCGTTTTAAGTATGTGACTAAGAAAATTAGGTGTTTTACTTTATCATTAATTATTTACTCCTAATTGTAGGCAATGTTTGTTTAGCTTAATGATGCGTAAGGTTATGGAAAGAACTAAGAAACCTTAAAGAAATGATGAACTATAATAATTTATCTAACATATGGTAAAAGAAGAAATACTGCCGACCATAATAGTAAATAAATAAAAGTACAGTGCTTGCGAATTCCAAAATGTGAGATTACGAACATATTTATATTGAATATTTTATATCACCATAATAGCAAGAACCGAGGTCGGTTTAAATTAATCACTTTTCTTTTAAATTCTGTGAGTAATTTTCTTAAAATACTGTAAAAATAAAGCAAAGCAAACAAGCTGTTCTCAGAAAAAATATTTTTTTGAAGGCCGCAATCAGTTCTAAATAAATGTTCGCGGTTTTAATTATTTTTACCCGTTACAAAATTAGAAACATTAAACCACATTTTTGAAGCTATTTTTTTAATGAGACTGGAGTTGAAAACTTTTTATTTATCTTACAAATTAACAGATTCATAATAAGGCACTCCGAGAATAGACAAAATTTCAATAATCTACTCACCGTTATAAGCATTTTTCGCAGTCCCAGCCACGGATGTAAGCTGATATTGCTTTTCACGAGGCATTTTACTGCCGGCAGTTAAGCTATTGAAGTTTCTGGTAAAAACAACTTTGGACGGGTGGTTAGATGTCTTGTCTTGTACATTTCCACGTAAATATTTGATAAGTACAGATGATGAACAATGCCACTGTGCATTATTGATCGTGCGAGTCGGTAGGCTGAAGAAAGTCAAAGATGTCATTTTGCTTTTGGTACCAAAATCTGCTCAGACAAATCAAAAACAAAATCAGATACAGCAGCTATTTGTTATCAAAAATTAGCACTTTATTTTGCTGAGAGACTAATCAGCTGTGATGATTATGTGGCGAATTTGTTGTTTTTTCTCTAGTTAGTCGTAGAATAATTGTTAATTGATGACGTTCAGCAAGAAGTGAGAAAAAGAGAGACATAAATTAAATAAAATAATTTATTATGATTCATTTTTCTTTAATATTTCCAAGCACACTTGTATGAGTTTATATTTATTATTAAGTAGTAATATATTATTAATTACAATTTTTGTTAAACACATATGTATTTCTTATAAAAGATAGAAATTAAAATTATTTTTCACACATTTAACTTTCCACTTTAAGTACGTTCTTCGCAAAAACGTCTGTATATTTAGTTCAATAGTTCTTTAGTGGCAATATTATTTTTTTTTGCACTTTAAAACTCACTTTGTTAAAAAAAAATGTCTTCAATTTTCTCTGGCACGCAAAGAGTCGTAAAGATAGCAGCTAGTAAAAAACAAAATGCTCCAACCACACTCTACCCAGTATAGTGCCTGCGTCCAGCTCTTGTTGCCCACTGATGATTGCCGTGTCTAATGCTAAAAATTATTCAAGTAACATGTATGTATATATTGTATGACCGCACAGCCAACCATGTAACCATCGCTGAGAACATTGGCACCGCCGAAACGTTTCGGGAACATGCGAAACTAAAATACATTTTCTCATTCCCTATAGTCTCTTTCTTGAAAAATTGCTCGCTTAAGCGCTTACGAAGTACTATTTGTTTATTTATCTTACGTATTTGTTACAATTTTCATTTGTAGTATAAGCAGAGAACTTAGAAGAACGTTCTCTAGTATAAGTCACTGAAAAATTACGTTTGGTCACTAGAAAGAACTCGAGAGAATTCGCAGTCTCTTTAGCTATTGTGAATATCTGCGCTGGTTGATGGAGAGCAAAGCAAATTTAAAATGCATTTTTAAATTATTTATGTAGTTACTGTGGGTAGTACATATGTAGTATGTACGGAAATGTGTATATGGAATTTAATCAATACTTAGTATTTTTAGCTTTCAAGTATATATTACGGTTTGGGAATTCATGTGGACCAGTTAATCTTCCAATACTTAAAAAGGCTTGTTTAGGTTATAGCTATTGTGTAGGCTTAGAAAATTAAAATAATAGAAAGTTATATATATGCATTAAAAAAATAAATAATTTGTTTTGCATAATATATCGAATGAACATACATTTGAGAAAATTTGAAGTTGATTCTGCAAATAGTTTAGAAGATATGAGAGATATGATGTTTGTAAGTGTAACCGGCTCTCAAAACTTTAAACTCATTTTTCACAAAACGCTTTTTTCAGAGTCGTAGGAAAATTCTCTCGAAAACGGCTGGACTTGAAATTTTCACACGACCTTCTTAGATATATTTGTCTGGTAATAATAAAAGGATTAAGATTTCTGATAACATATTCGATTTTTAAAGCAAAGAGTGTCTTTATGTAATTTTTTTCACCAAAAACGACCTTTTCTGGAAATCCGCCATTTTGACAAAAATCAAAATTTTAACTAGACCTTCGCTCATTATCTATATTCATCTATTAATATAATCCTTTTTTTTTGGTTTTTGCATTTGAGATAATTTTAAAAGGAGCTCTAGGAAGACTTCGGTTACGGCATCAAGTGGATCCAAATGTTTTCAAAATTAATCGCTGATTAATAAAGTAATCCCTTTAAAAGGAGGTCGTTATTTTAAAAGAAGTAATTAAAACCCTTAATCGAGGTTTTATATATATTTCGCGCTCCTGCTTTAGAACCCACCCCTGTTTTAGAACCCACTAATACAACACTCTTCAATGGGAAAATGTGAAATCTCTTCACCAATTTTACAAAATTTATGCATTTAATACATTTTACTAGACAAACTATTTTGAAACCAAAAACTATCCATAGGGATGAGTTGATATTGATTGATATTATTATCCGACCCATTTAAGGACCTCTAATTGAAATATGTAACGGACTTCTAGACCTCATCAAATAAAAATGTCTACTAATTTTCAAAAGCTGACGGGTTTTCTTGTAAGCTTTATTTTATTAGATACATTCAGATATAATATGAGACATTTAGCATCCACTCCCACAAAAAAAAAAAATTATTCGTCAATAATCTTGAATTTTTTTGGAGTAAACTTTATATACAAGGCACGGGATCAGCCACTTACGATGGGCACTAACTAACTGTATTTGGCAGTACAAAAGTTTTTGTCGAGAAGATAATGAAAAAATCTACGGTTTTCAAGCCGAAATTTACAGGTGTGCAAAACTAAAAAATAAAGTATATAGTGTAGCAGTGATTGTTTTATGTATTTTGAATGTTTTAGTAAAAATTGTAATTTTTTCCCTAACCTTAAAGTGTTTTATATGATATTCGTTAAATAAATTAGTCCTCATTATATTTTTATATAAATTTTGTCAAAACTTCTTAATAAAATATTAAATTTTATGCCCACTCTACAGTGCCTACACATCAAAGCTATAACTAATTGCCACCACTGTACAGCTTTGGCGCACATGCTTGTTCGCAAAGTAACTTTGCGATAAGAAACAACATAGACGTCATTTGCTCAGCAGTCAGCTCTCATTTTACGGCGAATTTCTCACGAACATACACACAAACATATTTATGTTCAATGTAAAATAATATAAAATTCTGATACCATAAAAAACATAACGCGCGGCATTACTCTAATTTACTTTCCGCTCTATTAGCTCGGTAGTAAATTCTTAATTACAACCGTGTTAATCCGCAATTGACTGCGAAACGTATCGAAAGAGTTGCTCGGCGCGGAATCGTGAAAATAAATATTTAATATAAATAAAAACGCGAATTAGCGGGTCTGAGTTTTTGTTCTTTACGTTTGCGGTTCACCTTCGTGTTTTCGTGTGTAAGTGGGTGACACAGGAACGCCAGCTACCGACAAATTCACTAACAAGTGCAATTAAGGAATTTTGGCGTTTAATAATAGATAATTGTGCAATAATTAAAAGTAAATGTTTAAAAGGTGTCATTTGGCTTTATTAAATAAATATTCAATTGTTTGCAAAACTTTTTATAAGCGACAGTTAAGCGCAGTAACACATCTGTCTGCAAATTCAGCAACATCAATCAAGCGCCAACATCCACATAAACTACAAATTTTGCGTAAGTATCCAGAAATATATTTTATTTTTGATTAATTTGCCTCAGAACCCTTTTATAACATTAAAATGCATTTCTACGCATTAATAATTATCTAACCCCACGCTAATAAATAATAAGCCTGCTTTAGCCCACCCCACTTGAACTGGTTCTTTGTGCCCATACATGCATAAGTATTTAGTTGTAGAAGTTGTCTAATGGAGGCGCTTCCGCCTCTGCCTCTCTTCCGTTACTTTTTGTTCTTATGCAATGTAATTGACATTTTGCAACATTTTCCAACTAACAGCTGTGCGCATAAAGCCCTACAAACCACAAAATCACACACAAAAAACCTATGTTATTGGTGCCGCAAAAGCGAGGCAATAATAAAATTTACTATATTCATTTTTTGTTTTGGCGCTATTTTCGTGTTATCGCCTTATGCGTAAACTTGTTCGTGATTGTGTATCATTGTTTTGAGCATCTAATTCTCTTCACACATTCACAATAGAGTGATGAGCAGGTATGGGGCTGTTAAGCAGTGTTTTCAGCCGCAAATTATAAAACATGCCTAAATTTTGCACAAAAATCACCTTATATATTTTTTATAACTGTTTGTATTTAATTGAAGATATAGTGCACCATATAATTCAATCCAACAAAATTTATCCCTTCTAGCAATTGACTAATAATTAATTAAAATATTTTTTCAAAAACCCGTAGTACTTAATAGAATTTATATACTAATACCACTTTAGTCGTTACATTAACACCAATTAATAGCAGAAGATAAATATTTAAATTGTATTGTATGGAATATTGAAATTGATTAGAGAACAATTTTCTTTCATTTTGTACTTCTCCCAGAAGGTACAAGCAGTTGAAAATTTTGCTTTTAAAAATATTCAATGCTTTGAGACATGATTTTTTTCTTTTGAAGAGGCATTTTAAGTGTACAGAATGTACTTTAATAATCGGGGATACATTTTGATCTCCGAAAAAATGTGTCTCATGGTGAGAAAATTTTTTCCGCTTCAAATTATCGCAAACCAAAAACCAAAAAATGTAGTATTACAATAAGGTATTACAGGTATCTATCGAAAGCCTGGTCAAAAATTTGATTATTGACAAATTGGCGGCTTCCCGAAAAAGCAGTTTTTTTTGTAAAATGAACAGCATTTCAGAGTAGCTTTAAGATCAAAATTATTATCAGAAATCTTATTACTTCGTTCATTACCTGACAAAAATATATAAGAAGGTCGTTTGAAAATTTCAAGTTGATCGGTCCAGCCATTTCGTGAAAAAAGCGTTTAAAGTTTTGGGAGCCGATTACAAGTTTAAAAAGTCTAGTCTAATTAAGTATTAGATTTGCCGGACATTAGATATGTATATGTATATCAAAAAATGTCGAATTTTCGAATTTCATAAGTGGATATTACCCTTTAAATAGTGGTAAGCACAAAAATACTAGAATGGAAATTTCCCGACCAGTTTGTTATTATGCGAAATATGGTATGAATTGATATAAATAAATATATCTTGTGCTCTATCATTTTTGGAAAAGAAACGACCATTTTTTTTATATTTCTGAGGCACTAAATCAAGTGCTTAAAATGCCATGATGGCAACTCTGGCGTTAAGTTTGTCAACAAGAAACACCATTAGATGGATTAATGATTAAATTTTTATAAAAAAAATGTGAGTTAAAAATTGCTTAAGACTGTTAATATTATTATTGTTGCTATGGTTTTTATTCTAGTTTTTTATAAGAATTGACTGATTAATTAATATGGCAACACCATTGTGAATTGCAACTAGAATACAATCCACATAGGTAGGAAAATTCAAGAGAGCAGCCACTGTCTACTGACTAATCATCACGGCTGTTGGTGCAGCACCTTATTATGTTAGTTAGCGAGTGGAGCAAGACAAGTTAAGCGACACTTGTTGAATCCAATTGAATATTAGAATCGCGGCAGATGCTAGAACGTTTCAAGTCTTCCGCACTTTTTATTTTATCTAACTTAAAAAGCGTGATTAACAAGTTAATTTGCAAGTAAAGAAATACAGTGTTGAGCAAAAAAGTTAAATAAAAAGAATAAATGCAATATATGAAAGAAAACAAGAAGTTTTAGGTGATTATAAATTGAAGTGGAATCCGGTTGTTTTGGTTTGGTTGCTGGCTGCTTGCTTTGCCGTCTCAATTCGTCTATTAATTAGCTAGTCTTTAACGGTAACTTAGATCATCAGCCTAAGAATAAAATTTCAAAGACGACGCAACGAATCAATGCATATTGATTCGTGTGAGTGTTTGTAAACAACAAACAAATCAAACTGTTCAAGCGACATCTTCTCATTGAGCACACACTCGTTATGCTCATACTACATGTATGTATGCTTGTATGCCTTTGGGTAAACTATTTCAGAAATCAAAACCCGTAAAAGTAAAAAAATAAAAACAAAACATGAATGACCATAATAATCATTGCTAGAGTTTACCGTATAAGTACCTACTGAACGCATTTTTAGAGTCAAATAAAAATTTCTAACAACGGAAAAATTTAGTTTCGTCAAAGAAGACAGTTAAATACATTACAATGATGATTAATAGGGTGTGTAGATAGTTGTATACTAATTGTTTAATCTTATCTGTCTTTGTTGGTGAAAAGTAGTGTGTGTGTGTATGAAAAGAGGTGGTCTAGGCCGAGACAATTAATGTAAGTACATACGTATATAGATTAGAAAAGTAGGTAGTCGTTTTATTAGGTATAGAAATTAATTAAAACATAGAATAATACAGAAAGCTGACTTAAATGGACAATATTTTTAATTTATCAATTCACAAATCATATGGATTTAGAGTTCGATTCGAACTTCATCCCTCCAGCGGCGATTATACTTTTTATTACAAGATATTGATGTTTACAGAATACAAGCGAAGGGTTTTGAACAAAAATAAATTAAATCAGGTAACAAAGCGAGTTATAAATAACTGAATAACATTTTCTTCATTATAAATCCACTAACTTGTAGCTGGTTTAGCTTTAAGCATTCTGACTATATTTAAACAATAACAAATTATCAAAATATGGTTGTGGTAGCACAAAAGTAATGTTTAATTAAATTTTGCCTACATTGCGGCGCTAAGGAAAAAGGCAGGAACCGATAAACAGTCAAAACAAAAGACTTAAGTGACAAACTATATCCTTTCACTTTCACTCCAGCACCACTTAAATATTATATAATTCATACTGCATAAATTATAAGAAAAAAAACGTTAAATATTTATATTATAATATTTTCGATTATGGAAATTTTACTTTAACTTACATTTACAAAATACACTTACAAGTTAGAAAAAAAAGTTTTTCTTTAAGAATTTTTTTTAAGAGGCCTTTTATTTTATAAAAAAAAATGTACATTTTCAAAATTTAATGTACTGGAATAATCGGTGATTTATTTTGAAAAATTTGGAATTCCCGTGATCCCGTAGCCGATCCACTGGGGGATCTACAAAAAAAAGTTGTCTGTCGTTGAGAAAGATTTGTCTGCTTAAAATGAGCTAAAATCCAAAAACAAAAAAAAATAATAATAAAATTAGATGAATGCAGATAATGATTAATGGAGTAGTAAAAATTTTGATTTTTGACAAAATGGCGGCTTCACAAAAATAATTTGTTTTTCGTGAAATACTTACACTTCAGAGTTGCTGCAAAACATTTAATTATTATCAAAAATATTATTACTTCGATAACTACCTGACAAAAAAAAAATATCTAAAAAGAAGAATTCCAAGTCGAGTAAAACACGCTTAAAGTTTTGAGAGCCGATTGCACTAAGTTAATAGATTCTTACAAATACGCCCATACCTCCAAATCTATTTTCCGGTTCAACTTCAATTCAATTTAATTACCGAGAATATACTCAAATATATGTACATTCTATAAATTAATATCTTTTTTTTTTTTGAAATTCACAAGTGGATATAATCCCTTAAGTCACTATACTGGGTTGCGTATGCGCAGGGATTCCGTTTTAAAATATTCTTAATTTTCTAAATTCTACAAATTAAAGTTTTTTCAGAAAAAGTATGTTTTTAAATCGCCGTTATATTTAATTTTTATTGCATAAATTTCAAAAATTAACAAATTTGAGTTAAATATGCAATTTATAGAAATTATAGTATTTATTTGTGGAATAGTTAAAATTTTTGTAGTTAAAACAAAGTACTACTAAAAAAAAAAATGATTAAAATAATAAAAAAATATTTTTTTAGAAATCACTTTTTTAAGATTTCAGCCTCATTGTAATATGTTTTTTTTATTGGAAAGTACTGGCAATAATCTGTTAATCAGCTATATATTATTGCTGTTTCTTATACAAATATGTATTTTCATGTCTATAAATAAAAACTAAATCTATATTATATAATTTTTCCATAAGAAATACCAATTTCTCGAGGTCTGAAAAGTTTCTCACAAAAAACTAAAAACCTTTCGAAGTTGACTAACTGCTGTGTACTCGGAGAATTTAAACAATCTATAGAAAAAGAAAGTCTTCCAAATATTTGTATGGATGCATACTGACACATACACAAAAAGACAATTTTAAGATGATTTGAAAGTAATTTACAAACTTTTTGTATACGAAACAGATGAAAAAATACACTTAACAAAACTCATACGATGTATTAATTACCTTACTCACCACATGATAACTACCTTGGTTAAGTTTGCAATACCAAAATGTAGGTTTATGTAATCAATTATCTCTTAGAACCCATAAACACCAAATAAACACGCACTCAGGCAACACACATCAATATAACGGTTAAATGTTGAGCGGCTAAACAATTTAAAGTGATTAATATGCTTGAGAAGTAATTACCTCCATTCACAAAAGTGGATATATATGTATATGTATGTAAGTGGTCTTATGTATACTTCTACTTTGTAGATTCTTCAAATCTTTCTTACAAATGTTTTTCTTTAATGACATTGACTGCATATTTTCAAGCCTTTTTAAAGCAAAGCAGATCAACACAAATGGAAAGCTTCAAGCTCAATTATGGAGATTGTACAACTGAAGAGGCCTCCAAAAAATACAAAAACACAGTACGCAACCAATTGTAAATATGTGTATGTATGTACATACAGTATACATGCATTTCCTCTTACTTCCGCACCTCCAGCGGCACCAATGGTGGCGCCCAAGTCTGACGACCAGCCGGCCGGCTTCGTCATCCAACTCATTGGGCCACTGATATATTATATATACAAACATACTCGTATATATGTACTTATAGATATATGTATATATATATATATGTGTGTGTATATGCACTGATGAGCGTGTCGAGTGTGTATTCTAGTCATGCATTCGGTGCGATGGTCGTTTCTCGTTGGTAAAAGTATACTGTAATATTTATGTATATGTATGTTTGTATGTATGTATTTGTTGCTGGTATTTACTTGTAGTTTGTCATTTCCATTGGTATTTCGGTGTTGTCAGTACTAAATCAACTAGCACGGTAGTAGCAACAGCAACAGCACCTAGAATAACAACAGATAACGCAAGCGTAGCAGCCGGAAAGGCACCAATTAACCAACCAACCAAATAATCAACTGTTCAACCAACCATATATTTAATAATAACAATAAAACAATTATAGTGTCACTGGTGTTATTTAAATGAAAAAGTTGCTAAAACATTTTCAGAGTGTGCGGAGCGATTGCAATACTACAAATAATTAAATTTCAAAAAAATAAAAATAAAAATAATAAATTAAAGAGTTCCAAACAAGCTCTGTGGCGTTCAGTGGAAACGTATGTAAGTAGAAAATTACAAACGTATAATTTATTATTAGCGGAAAAATATATAAATTATATAATTATGCAGTGACTAGAAAGATTACTTGTGATTATTTTTATTTGGAAAAAATATTATTATGAAAAACAAATTCGGTTAATAATCTTTCACACATATGTGATCAAATTTGACCCGGACTGGCAAAACAAAAAATTTTATTTTCAAGTATTTTAAAACGAAACTTTAATATCGGCTCCTAAACTAATACTAGCATATCTTAATTCAATTTTCCATATACTTGTTATAAGACTCTTACTGGATGGTCTTCAGCGAATGTCTTTGAAAAAGCGAATTTTTCAGTTTCGAAAACAGAAAAAGTCACAGGAAACCGTATCTGACGCATACGGTGGCTGAGAGATGACTATCGGCTTGTGTTTGGCTAAAAGGACAGTCACAATAATATATATTGTTATTATCTATGTTAAAAATACTCGCACATGAACTTTCTGCCCACAAATCCGGTCGATACTTCGCCGTTTGACTCTGTAGAACAAGTGATATGCCGGACCACACCACGGTAATCAAAGAAAGCGATGAGCATTACTTTGATTTTTGACCGACTTTTACTAGTTATTTTCAACGTCTACTCGTAGTCGTTTTTGCAAAAGGATCAAATCTTACGAATACGAGTCTAGCATTGACACACTTCATACCCAAAACATTAACCAAAATGAATAATAAGAGATGTTGAGATCCTCACTGAACCCAAGAAGTACTTGGATGAAGAACCATTATACATATTTTAACCCTTTGCTGTCGAAATTTCAAGCAATTCGAAATCTTATGACCTTACAACTGAAGAGTATTAGTCTTTGTTTTTTATTTTAAGTAATAGCTTGAAATATGAAGTTTAAATTACTGTAAAATAAATAGAATACCAGTTTTTCAGTAAATACTAAGAGCCCTACTTTTAGAAATGTCTATTTAAGCCCCTTTAACAGTTAGCCACAGCTACGAACATTTTAAAATTTTCATTTTGAGAACAATTCGGGTCCTCATTTACGTCATCTAACAAAGAAACAGTGCTAATTTTCGTTTATAAAATTGAACTGAACTTAAATTATAACTAAAGGTCTTCTTGATGGTTCTTCACTTCCTGCCCTACTTTTTTGATCGCCCAATACTGAGTTGATATTAATTTGACTACCCTGACAAGCAAATATTTATAAAGCGTAGTAAATTGATCCTAGACAGGCTATACAAACAAAAAATAGGCTGTTAAAAAGCAGTCCTCAAGATATTTTTGAGCAAGTTTCAGATCAAATTTGATACTTTCGGAGCACCATGAAATCCAAAGCAGTTTCGACATAGAGACCCATAACTCATAGATTTAAAAGGATAGTTTTGCTAGTACTACTGTGCAAGGAATAAGAGAGTCTTCTCTTCAGAATCAACCACATTTTTATGGTCACAGTTAGTTCTTCTTGGGAAGATCCAATATCCAATAGCTTAAGGGAATTTAAATTTCTTAGCTTAGTTCGTGGGATATTTAAACAGGCAGGTAAAAAGTTCTAGGAAAATCGTACATGAAGACAATTTTTCGAGCCTCAACGGTCGTTAGAACAGTGTATTCTGTATAAATGATAGATAAAAACTTCAACAGTTCAGATTAGGCTATCGAAGATTTCGGCTAGCGAAGCTTTCCGAAGACCTAACATTAAAAAAATCAGTGTTAGGGATATTTTTCTTCCAGAGGGCCTAAGAGGTGGAACACAGGGCAGATAACCTCAGATAATTAATATTTTTATAGATAAGTATATATAAAAACTATTTAACATAGTAGAAGTTCTCGTTCAGTATAACCTATGAAATAAAGTACCTCAAGGGATGCTTTCGAGAAAATTATTATATTTATTACTTGTATAAAATATTATATAAACGTCAAAAGCAAACGTCAAAAAATTAAAGAAAATCCAAATAAATAAGATTGGCATCCCTCTAGAACAGTATCGTGTGTAGTCAGGTTTCGTAAGTGATACTCTGAACAAGGTATGTTTTTAGAAAAGATAAGGTACCGAAAGAAGTATGACGGCCTGTAAAGGTTTCGCGGCGGATACTTCTACCGGTCAAAGATTTTTATAGATATTTCTAACGATTGTTTGATGCTATATAAATGATAATTAGACTTCGATAAGATTTAATACAACTCTTCGTGGAATTCAGTGTCTAAAGTTTTAAAATTATGACAAATAAGTTTTCATACTCAAAAGAAAGTAGTTTTGTTATTCGTATTGCTTACATTTTTTTCACTATCAATTACCGTCTTTTAGGTCACTGTCTAGGCAATACAAATGTATATATTTTTCCATTCTCACGAACTTTCCAAAGTATTTATGCGTATTCTTTCATTGATTCATTTAATTACGTTAATTTTGTTTGCTTTTTCTTCCACATTTAACGATATGATTTATGCCCGCGGCAACTGATTGCTACTTCATTCATACAATTATATTTTTTTTTCACAACATAAAAAAATAATAATTGTCATTCAATAATCATCGACAGTCGCCAAAATTGTGACGAAATAGTAATTGTGATATCGAATAAAGAGTCAATAAGAAATAAGCGCAAAAATGCATCAATTCAAATTAACCGAAATGAAAACGAATCTGCTGTACGCGCCCGAGTCATATGCGCTGGCGCATGCCGTCTCCGCCGATCTGAATACGATGAAGGGCACGCTCGCCTGGCAATTTGCCGTCATTTTCGGTAACTTCGAAGAGCTCAGCAAGCAGCCGATAACCGTGGGCAATGTCGCCGTTATGGAGCACCAATCGCGTTTCATATACTTTCTGGTGACGAAGGAAAATGTCTACGAGACTACAACGTACAACACATTGCATGCGGCGTTGATTTGCATGCGCGAACATATGGTAATTTCTGCTTTCGAAAACACATTTCTAATTTTGACTTAATAACAAAAACAAAAGCAAAAATGAAATATTTGCGGTTAAGTGATAAGGGGTTAGCGGTTGCGAGACACATAATTTGTAATTAAAAGAGCTAGATTTTTTGTTATGTATTTCGAAGGAATTATCAGCAAATTTGAGCTAAAAAAATTTTGTAAATATAAAAATCTATATTTCTCATTGTAGCAGTTTTACTAAAACTAGCAGAGTACGGTACTTCAATGAGGTTATGTAACTTTTAAACATAGGAAACTGCGAATGAGATGTTACAAGGATTGAGAAAGGGTGTATTTTGAAAATATAATAATTAAAAGAGTTATCATCTCCCAGTGCCTTAAAGTCCTATTGCTCGATTCTAAGCTACATCTAAATATTTGACGATGTATATGTATAGATACTATACTATTGTTGTAGTCATTGAACGAGAGAGAGAGAGAGAGAGAGTGGGAAAGGAAATATGATAGGGTGGTTGTTGTTATAGATTCGCTTACGATGACTGAAGCCCCGATATATACAATATAAATTTAAATCATCATAATTTCAAAGATAAGCCATGAAATCTATAGAACTTGTATTGAAAAATCTCTCGACAAAACTTTTTTTCTTAACTAAACACTCTGAAACTTATTAAAAAAATGCGAGTGCTGACAAAGCTTACAATGACTAAATCAAAACTTAATGAAATCTGGGGTAGTTTTATTACGCTACTTTATACATATAAGGGACATAAAAGATGCCCCAAGTAGTTGTAGGGATGGTTGCCGAGCTCTTGTATAGAAATTGACTCCAGACCCCCAGATCCGAGTATGATATATATATAAATGATCAGCGTGATCAGCTGAATCCATACAAACTGACCGATCCCAATCAAGTCCATGTATGGAAAACTTTTTTTTTGACAAGATAAGATCATATATATCAAATTTCATAGAAAAAAAATTCTAAGCTTTTGAACTTGAACCACCGATTTTTTCCTAAAGCGCATACACGAGATCACAAAAATCGCCATGCCGCGCATTTGCTGTGGCACCGACGGTTTGGAGTGGCAGCGTGTCAAACAGTTAATACGCACAGTATTCGCCAGAGAGACGAATGTGGAAATACTGATCTGCAGCTACAATCAAACGGTGGTAAGTTAGGAAGCTGCTGACACTGCTGAAATTTCATATTAAATAATTATTTATTTCCAAACACACAAGACAATACCGCCAAAATGTCAAATTGTCGAAGTGAAAGGCAATATATTCAGCGCGCCGCAGGACTTCTCGCTGGTGCACTCGACAAGCGCCGATTTCGCTATGTCCAGCGGCATAGGCTTACACTTCAAATGCAAATTTGGACAGATCAATGAGTTACAAAAACAAAATAAACATGTTGGCAATGTGGCGGTGTTGAAGGATAACAATCGCTATATCTACAATTTAATAACCAAGGAGCGTAGTCATGAGAAGTGCACCTACCCGGCGCTTTACTACGCGCTAATGGCAATGCGCGAGCATGTGGTAAAGTTTAAGCGCAACAAAAATAATTTGAAAATATTTGATTTTTTTTTTGATATTACTAATTTGCAATTCTTTTTTTTTTTTTGTTGCAAAATAGGAGCAAAACAATGTGACCAAGCTGGCCATACACAGATTCGGTGGCGACATCGATCGCCTGAGTTGGCTGCGCGTTAAGAATATTGTGGAATTTGTGTTTTGTAACAATGCCGTAGAAATCATAGCATATGTCTTTGATCCACCAGAGGTAGTGCGTAGACGCTCACGTGATTCACGCTCACGCTCGCGCACTTTGGAGTCCATGGTTAATCGCATGTCGCTTTCACGAGACTTCCCTTGAATGAAGTTGGAGAGTTAAAGCAGGCGAATATTTTAAGTTAAAATGTGAAATTTTTTTACAACCACACACACACACACACAGTTAATTTATTAATATATTACTCGTACTCATACACCACATATTTATAACCTTAATTTTAAGTTAATTATTTACACTGAAAGCGGTGTTCCAGAAAGACAAATTTTGTAACTGTTTTTTTTTTTTGTTTTGTTGGAAGAAAAATATCGTTGCAGCAGAGTAAAGTTTAATCTGTGTATTTGTGTTGAAAAGAAATTATAATAAAGGAAATTTTGTTATTTATGTTGGCATTAAAATATCATTCAGAGTGTGATTAAGCAATAAATATTCATAAAAAAAATGTATATTTTTAAGCAAGAAGTGCATTCATTACACATTTATTTTCATATTTTCTAAATTAAGACTTATATTAAAAAAAAAATATTTAAAAATCTTGAAATTTTACTTAAAGTTTTTTTTAATAATTTTTAAAATTTTTAACATATTATTTAAATTTTTTTTTTTGTCTTTTTAAGAACTTTAAACCAAATTTATATTATTTTTACAACAGTTAAACAGTATAAAAACTGAACATAACCTCTCAACAATCGAAATTTTTACGCAAAGCGATTATTTTTAGTTTTTAAATATACAAAATGTCTTTCAATTGAGAAAACATGATTATCTCAAATTATGACAATAAAATTTACACAATTCCAAATATAAACAAACGACGTCACATACACACACGAAATCTAATTTTTAACAAAAAAGTGTAATATAACATTTTTGCTAACTACACTGTTGTTCAAAAAAATAAATAAAATTCTTCGATAACTAAAAGCATTCCAAGAAAAAGTTTTTTTTCTATTATAATTAATTTGCGTTTAACACAAAATCTGCAAACTTTTATGTAACTCATTATCTCGTTAACACAAATTCCAGCTCAAACCGCAACAACTAACCAAGCACCATTTCACACCACGAACGCACAACAACTACGCCAAAACATGTCTGCAGATTCGAAATTCAAACTGACTGAGGTCGAGGGTGACCTTTTCAGCGCACCCGAAACACACTCGCTGGCGCATTGCGTGGGCGCTGATTTTGCCATGGGCGCCGGCATTGCGGTGAAGTTCAAACAAATCTATGGACAAGTGGATAAGTTACTGGCACAGGGCGTACAATCCGGCGGCGTTGCAGTGTTGCAAGATAAAGAACGTTACATTTACTATCTGGTAACCAAGCCACAAAGTTGGGGCAGTCCCACATATGATAGCTTGCGTGCATCGCTTGTGGCCATGCGTGAGCATATGGTAAGCAATTGAGAGAGTTAATTGTATTACACTGAATAAAATACATTTTTTTAATTTCTCTTTATAACCCAACAGCGCAAAAATAAGGTGCAAAAGTTGGCTATACCGCGCATTGGCTGCGGCATCGATGGGCTTGAATGGGACAAAGTGAGCGCTGAATTGTGTAAGGTGTTCGGCGATGAAGAACTAGAAATTGTTGTGTACAATTTTGTGCCGAAGTAATATTTTTAAGCAAAGTATGTTATTTTGTTAAAATAAATAAAAAATATCACTTAATGCTGAGCATTAAAGAAAGGTGTATTTATGCGAGATTAGACTTGATAATTGTTATAAAATAAATAAAAAAAAGCATAATAGTAAAAGCATTTTGATATCGGCACAGTAAAATAGAATGCGGTAAGTAATAAAAAGCAAAAAAACAAAACTTGTAAAGGGATACATTTCTAACTTAAAAATTGCAAATGCCGAGATTAACGAATTCCTCAAAGATACACATTACTCCAGTGTATAAGAAAAAATCGTAATATTTGATTTAATAAATAAGTTATATTAATATTTGTACATTTACAAGATACTACAGAACACTTAACATTTTACGGCACATAATTATAAACAATTATTTCAATTGGCGTATTCTTGAAGACTTCTTGCAATAAATCTTTAACTTTTTGCCAAACCAGACCATCTAGACCACAGCCAATGCGTGGTATAGCCAATTTATAAACGTCATTTTTGAGCTGCCGAGAATATAAATGAATTAATAATAGAAGCAAGCCATACTGTAAATAACAACAAAAGCTATTTAGAAACATATGCAGTTATAACTACAAGAAGGTTTTGTGTTTATGGTAAATTACATGAAATTGAAATCAAACTAAGTATGCTCTTAAAAAATAGCTAGTCCTGCATAATTTATATTTATAATTTTTATATAAAACTATTTCTTTATATTACTTACCATATGTGTTTTCATTGCCTGTAGTGAATCGTGTAGTGTTTGATAAGTAGGTTTACCCCAACTACTCTGTTTGGTCACCAAATAATAAATGAAACGCGACTTGTCCTGCAAAATTGCTACGCCGCCAGGCTTGACATTTTGTTGCTTTAGCTTAGGTATTTGACCGAATTTGTTTCTAAAAATTTGCAATATAATTATAAAGCTTTTCATTCACTTATATGTTATTCAAATAACTGCTACTCACCTAAATTTTACGGCAATACCTTTGCCAAGTCTCATATCGGCAGCTACACAATGCGCCATGGAATATTTCTCATTCGCGCTGAATAAGTCGCCACTAATTTCTTTAATTTTACAAGTAGACATGTTCTTCCAACGTTTAAAAATATTCAAATTAAATTTAACTTTTTTTTAATTAAAAGTAAATATTTACTGGATGCCCGCGTAAGTTATTGAGATGGTGAAATGTCGATATTGTTATCGATAACATTAGTATATGTAGTTTAATTTATTACAAATAATTATAAGAATAGAAATTAAGACAGAAGCAATTAGCCATGACAATAATTATCAAACAAATATATATTTTCAATCCAACTTTGAATCATAAAGATGAAATTTTAATACAAGTTTTTTCCGATTGGAATGGAACAACTAAATCACAAAATGTTAACGAATTCGTTAACATTCTCTGCTAATATGGTGCTAAGTAAATAACAATGAGAAAATATACACAATTTCTTTAATGTTTCTCTTTAAAATGGGCAAAATTATTCTGTTGAGTCGATATGCAACAATATCTAATATTATAAATTAGTGTTTTACGGATGCATTTTCATAATTTCTATTAATGTATTTATTTTTATCTTGTATCACCCTGTTAAGCAGTGTACAATTATTCAGCGCTTTCCTAACATTTCCTTAATGCCTATTTGACAAACCACCAACGGCTACTAACTTCATTTCAGATATGGCGTTTCCTGGTTCTTTTCGTCATCGTTGTCAACAGAAAAAGGTGAGCATTTATAAAGTTTCGGCGAGTACATCAGTTGGCACGTGGAAGATGTTGCAAAAAAAAGTTTAAAAACCTATGGTGGATATTCCTGTGTGCTGCAATATGGACAACAACTTCCTAATCATTGGTAATTGGCTTTTAGAATATATATATTCACACGTGTTTGACGCACAATGTGGGTTGGGTTCCCGTGTCAACTGGTGTTATAAATGATTTCCATGATGATCGAATTAACAGAAGAGTTCTTGAAGACTATTATTCATCACCCAAGACTGACAGCAAACTACTTATTTCTATTTGACATCGTCATTTAGTAGTTCAACAATTAATTTAGTTAAAATTTGTGCTTTTAGACTCGAGATGGCCACCACATCGCCTCATCTTAACTGGTTGATTATCCGCAACAACAACTCCTTCCTCTTGAAGAAGCGTGATGTGAAGAAACCTTTCAGCACTGTAAGTAACTAATTGGTACTACCAATTATTTAGTTTAGCTATATCAAATAAATAGTGATGTTATTTTAATTCACAATGATATTTGAATACCAAATGATAGGAATATAACCAAACTGATATCGTTTGTTATATCAAAGCTTCTATATGTTTGAAATTTCACTAAAATTTTATTTTCCTATTAGGAGGCCAACAATTTGACCAATGTGAGCTCTTTCCGCTACAGCGGCTTGGTACACAAAAAAACCGTTGGTGTTGTACCAGCTGCCGACAAGAAAGGATTCTCGGTCGTTTTGAAGAAGGGCAAATATGCTCAACGCCCCGCTAAGAACACAGTACGTGTTTCATTCAAGTCAGGCCCCAGAAGGTCATTGAAAAAACTGAGGAACCTTTTGACCGGTGCTAAATACCGCAAGGACTTGACACAGGTAGGTTTGATACAATATGTGTAAAGTAAGATATTTTATCATGATGAGACTTTGTTTTTTTTGCTACTCACCAAGATCGCAGAATTATTATGTTGAGAAACCAATCTGATAATAAAAATCAATTAAAATTGCTACAAGGTATACATGCGGCCATCTTCTAAATTGTTCTATTTTTATTTTCAGGCTGCTCTACGCCGTGCGTCTGCCGTGCTTGCATCGCAAAAGGCTGTCCCAGCTAAAAATGTAAAGAAGCCTGAATAAATCCAAAAATTCGATTTTGTGAATTGAGTTTGTATTTTACAAAGTTGAATAAAACATTAATAATTTGTAATTCTGTAATTTACTACACAATATGGTACGAAAAGTCTCGTTCTCATGACAGTCAAATTGTAGGGAGTATTTTAATTGTTACAAAAAATAAAATACTGAATGAAAGTGAAAAATTTCTTTTTATTGTAATAATTTAGAGAAGTTATGTAATCGTATTAAGAGAAAGATTCCTCTCTTAAACGCGCAGACAATAACCTACTTACGTGCTCAGTTAAGCGAACTGAATGAAAACCATGCGTTTTTTCAAATATTTAAATTCAGCGCTATAGTCCTATCCTCACATCGATCACACTGAAGCCTTTCGGTTGTAGCCGTTATTTTCATTAATCGATCGAAGTCTGCTATGAGTCAGTGGAAATTTGAGTTTCAGACGACAAATCGGGACTTCGCCTACGAGTTAGTGCGTAGGCTTCCCAGAAAAATTCTTATTGAATATATACTTGTGCGACGACAGGAAAGTAGGAGGCTAACCACATCCGCACGTAAATCTCAAGCGCAAATCTATTGGCCATGTATTATTCGTGTTTCCCGAGGCGCATGTTAATTGTCATCAATACCATCTAACGAGAGGTCTAGGCAACGTGCTGTCCCCACCCAGTCGGACTATAAAGATGTTAGACGAGTAGGCTTCCGTGCCGTAGACCGTTTACATCGCCGAAACAACAGCCTCTGGTCCGATGCTTTGGCTGGCAGTTGTGTGAATTGAATTCAGTCTCTTCATCTTCTGAGGTTGATTATTTGTTAAATAAACTATTAATTTTCTTTTCAACTTCAATAGGAATATAGATTCTTCTATTTCTTCTTCTTCTTAACTTAGACAGTTCCATTACTGCTACATTTTTGTTGTACAATATAATCGAATAGAATTAAATGGAGTTTTGCACTGCAACATGTCTGTTGTACCCTCCCCTCCTTTACAAGAATCCACAAAACCCCAGCACTCTGATAAGTTCCTGGATCTTACTAGGCGCCATTGAGGTATTGTGCTCCCTACTCGAATATATGGATACAAGGGTCCAGGATGTACGCAGATCGCTAAGCAATCTAGAAAAAGATACTCCAGAAATTTGTCTTTTTATAATTTGTTTAAAGCTTGCGAGGTTATAACCTTGCAGTGACAGCTTTTCTTGGCGCAGGCCTGTAGTTAGCTCCCAGTATCTATCCCTGTCCATTCCTTCCATTTTCGGAGCAGCTCCTTTATGGTGTGGGGACCAACGCGAAAACAGATTTCGGTACCACCGTCCTAGAATACGCTACGGAGTGACGGGTTCCGTCAGTCATTTCATTACTTGCTACATTTTTTCTTCCCAGAACCCAGATATGGTGAACTCGGTTGCAAACTGACAGGCTGTTCAGCCGCTCTAAGCACTTCTAAACGTTGAATTTAATCTCATAAGATGAGATCGCCTGATCGTGATCGTGATCGCTATACGTTCACTGCGATATACTTTTGGTGTAAGTAACGAAGTATATGTTCCTCAAGGAGTCACGTACTAATGAGGCTGCATCTTAATAACTTTATCTATGATTCCCTAATTCCGACAGTCATTGACAATATGGTATAATGGGCTGTACATTTGAGAGACTGCGCTGCTTCGTGACGCACATAGCTGCGATTGTAATTGAAGTATAGAGCCTCAACGAAATCATCAAATTGCTGAAATCATTAAATCGGCACCCAGGAATCTCAAGAGGACACCCCATTGCAGATGGAAGAGCTCCAGTTGCCCCGAGATACCTACAAGATACTTATATACCAGCAGATTTAACTTCTACTTATTCAGACTTGACTCCAATATGCTCGACACACACGAAAAATGTATGCATGGAATATATTCCAAAAAAATCCATGCCCAATCGGCAAGAAGTATGATCTTACTACCTGCGCCAACTACCGTAGAGACAAAGATGGTGGAATACGATAAGGACAGTGTAGCGCAAGAAGAATAAGAAATCGTCCAACCCAAAGTAAGATCGCCTACTTAGGCAAACATAACGACACTTCCGGCAGTCATGTCAACGAAGCTGAAAAAAAATCTGAATTTATATTCGCTCGAAGACTGTCAACTCAGCAACGCACTCTTCAGAGTAGTAATCTGTGTAGTAAATACCGCGAGGATAGTCCAATTAGTACTTAGCTTCACCACCTGAGGACTCAAAAATCGCAAGCGGAAAAATTTCAAACGAATCCTTTAGCTTTGATCGCTTGTGTCGCGGATTGTAGAAAAATGGAAAAAATGAGCAAAATCGATCGGTGAATCGACACTTGCTTCTGGAATTTAAATTACGTAGTGAAATTAAAGCGCGGGCTTACCCGCTGAATATGGTTACACTTTTCCTTCGGTGGCGTACTTCAAAAATTGATTTTACTACCGATTGAATGTGCGCGGCGTACCCGAGACAGTACGTATCACAAAATACCGTATAGGTTATATTCAGCATAAAATGTTGGACTGCGGACAACAAGCGAAACTATGAAATCACTTCGCAGGAGTGTTTGACGCAGTTTGAGTGCAATCCGAAGCAGTTTTTGCTATGTTTCGTGACTGTTGTGGAAACATGGATCAACTGGTATATACCAGAAATTAAAAAATAGTCGAAACAGTGCACTTCACCTAGCGAAAGTGCTCCGAAGAATGCGAAGACTGTCCTGTTGACTGGTGAGTTAATGACTGTCGTATTATGGGATTTACAAGGTGTGATCTATGAAAAAATTGTCTTTGATTTTTAAATCCGCAATTACTTATTTGCCAACCCAATACATGAACTACCCTTAGATAGACAAGTCGGTCACAGAGTACTACTATGTATAATAAATTTTTTGCGCCGGTCAAACGGCTTCTCTCTAGGGCTAATAATAAAAATTTCTTCCACCATGGCAAGGTATTGGATCACACTTCGCCGGACATAAATTTGAGTAAAATGAGTAGGTTATCGCCGCCACCAAGACATACTTTGTAAAGCTTTAGAATACGTATTTTTTAGATGTGTTAAAAAAGTTGGAAATATATCGCAATTTTTCAAAATTAGCGTTTTTCTTTTTTGGCTCAGCAGCTATCGGACCGTGCTCATATTTATGGGAGTCCACTAAGTTACCTATATATGTGCATGTAATTTTATATATTTATTTAACTTTATTGATTCTATTTTATTGATATGATATCACATAATCTCGTGGTAGTTATGATCTTGACTATCCTAGGTACATATATACTAAATACATATTTAAGTAAATTTGTGAGTATACCGCGTATTTGGTGCCGTCCACTTGTCCTCCCTTCAGTCTTTCTTAATAATATTCTCGATGGTAAAAGCGGATGTGAGTGCCTTTGGTTGCGACTGCAGCTGAGGCTGTGTCAGCGGTGGTAGAGGCTGCGTACTACGAGCTGGTGTAATGGGTGTGAAGGCGCTGGGTGAAAAGGTGTTTGCTTGTCGTGTGCTATCCACCGAACTGTTGCTGTTGGAGTAGGCACCACCGGAGAGATCGAAGCTGTCCATGTCACGAAATGAATTCTGGCTACCGTCTGGATTTGTGCTCAATAGCGGCACTATTGTGCCCACATGTGGTAAGGCCAGTTCGCGATTTGTGGTGAGATGCGTTGTTGTGCCGGCGGTGCTGGTGGCGATCTTTGGCTGTGCTGGCGGTTCATTTCGAAAGAGTATGTTGAATGGCGCAATCGAAGCCAAATATTGTCGGTGCAACTCGGTAATGCGATCGGAGTAATTTAAGCCCATTGGTGGCGGGTGTTTGTTGCAGAATGTGTTAAGGTCACTTTGTGTTGCAGCGGAAGGATCGTCCACAGTGCTTTCGAAAACTTGATGCTTTTCCAGCTGTTGAGGTCAGTTAGTTAATATTCAGTATTTATATTAAATGCAAACTCAACTCACTTGGTAATTATCCTCTGAACCGCTGGAATTTCTAATGCAATGCCTTTGCCGTCGCGTGCGTCGACGCCGATAGTTGCCTTGCTCGAACATATCATTGGCCGATGCGTCCAGCATCCAATAACTTCCTTTGCCGGAGTTGTCATTATCGTCAATTGTGTTTTTATCACGTGGCACCTTCACGAAACAATCGTTCAGAGAGAGGTTGTGTCGTATGGAGTTTTGCCATCCTTGTTTGTTTTCCCGATAATATGGGAATCTGATAAGAGGAGTGAGGTATTTCGATTGATAGATTGATAATTATTTATTTTGAGTATTTGGTTTGAAACTTTCTCCTAATCAAATTCATATTTGGAACTAACTTTGTTAGTAGCAGTATAGTATTTCATTAGTAGTCAAGTTCAATATTGTGAATTTATATCTTTATTGGGTCACACATCATTAATATAAGGCGTCCTTCAGTTTCGTTTCTATTGCAATGAGCATAAAAGCAGAAAAAATGTCTACTTAGAAATCCAACTTCGAATCACTCTTTCCGACATGGTAAGGACATGGACCCAGTAAGCAATTAGAAAGTAAAATTTCGTTAACTTTCTATAAAACTCGTCTCATTTCTAGCTTACATACACGCTTACGTCATAAAAGTAATAATAGTTCTAGCGGTTTTAAGCGCATACTTCTCCATTCGAGATATATATATGTACAATATATAGCAAGCGAATCAAAACCAATAGGTCACACCGCATATGACTCTCATTAGAATGAAATTATTCCGCTTGTACCAAACTAGACGTCAGAGTTAGACAGCGACGTCTTATGTAATGAAAATTTTCGAAACAAAGAATGAAGCGCTATTGTGAAGCCGACCAGTTAAGCATATATCCGAAGAAGACGAAAAGGAGATCACATATCTAACATGAAAAAGCTACTTCAATATTCTAGGATGCTTGGAGAAACTTAATTAGCGTGAAACTTGGAAAACTGTTGAACAAACAACTTCAGTTACAATGGAAATATACACCGAAGAATTCAGAAAAATTATTACGAAGAAAGATCTCAATATCTCAAAATCTCAACATTTTTGGAAAGACTTAAATTAGAGTAGGCATGATAGTAATATTAAAAAATCTTGCGAAAAATCTATTCTAGATAAACGGGATTTACATTAGGGATGTTAAAGGATTTACTGCTTTTCGAAGATTATAGGCAACAAGTTAGAGAAATCTATTAAGAAACGGAATATATGGATATTTCTTATAAATTTTTCTTCAAAATGTCGCTTTCTAGTCAAATCAATGGATATTAATATCTTTTGTGCAAAAGTTATGCCAAAAAAGAGCTTCAACCTCCAGTTTGATTACTTGTTGTATCACTTTTTTAGGATGAAGTTTTCAAAGCGTTGAAGATCACAACCATCTAAAAGTACTTAAAAACCCAGTGACTCAGGTTATATTGCTCTAAAGAGAGATATTACAGATATAAGGTTTTCTTGAAGGGGTCAATAGATGGTGATGGGTTCTTTCTCTTAGTTAGATATCATATATTGATCGAATAAAGATGAGACGAACTATTTTTTTTAGGACCTTGAAAAAATCTTTTCAACCTTAGCAATATTAAGAAAAGTTATGATGAACAGGTAAACTAAGCGATAATACAAAAGCTATTAGTACGACACTTATCCAGCTTTCAGTAAAAGCAGACCGAAAATGGTTGTAGAAAGTTTGCAGTTATGTGCAGAGTTATCATTGGTGATCTCTTTGAGATCGGTAGTAACAAATGCAATAGAGTCATAAGAAACCATTTCTACTGGACAAAATAAAACTACCTTAAAGTAAGTAAGAATCGCTTTCCAATTTATGTTATGCCTGGATGGCATAAATGGATCGCAGTACGATTTGATAAATATTTCCTAGTAACGATTCCGGATAAGGCATGCTATGTTAAAAAGTCCTTAGAAAGGAAAGTTTGTAGTTTATACCACTGCTTTGAAATACATAGCATCAGCTTGAAATAAGGGCACAACCCGATGAAAGAGCACTCTGTAGAGATTTCATAACTTGTCAAGAAACATATAGAAGCTATTTTCAGTTCTGGTTTTACTTCGAGCCCGACAATTTCATATCTAAGGTCAGTTGTTAGTCAAAAATGTGGGAAGAAGCTTATCGAAAAAGTTTAAACATTCAGAAAGGAAAAGCGACAAATATCTAGAACCAGTAGAGCCGACGGTCTTTTGATGAATATTACTTGATCTGGTGCACTCTAAAGATACTCTGTCATATCAATGAGATTATTGTATATAGGGAGGGTTTGGTAGCATGTACAAATAAACCTAAAAATTCTGATGGTTTGACAGATTTACTGAGTCATTCAAAGGGTAAAAAAACTGATAAATTTATAAATTTTTTCTTGGAATTCGCAATAAGTTTGTTAGGTTTATACCAGTTGTTGGTTCGATACTGCACTCTATAAGCTTTGACTAACATAAGTATAGCCACCATATAGGAGTAGATAAACGAAATGCTTAAGTGAGTGAGTGTTAGCTATTGAAATCGATCTCGAACGTTTTTCTCTCCACAGGCAAGATAGAGCTGACAAGCTTTTGATAAGCAGCTTCTTGAGCTGCTTGTAGCAGTTCATTCGTTTCTCGAATAGTATAATAGACTCTAATGTAGAATGAATTAAGATATGCAATCTTAAAGAAAGGGATAATAGATCGGAGAGGTATTCGACTTATTATGAATCCAAGTTTTATGTACTATAACAGACTTATATTCACATACATATATTTGGGTAGGACAGTAAGTATGTTATATAACCTACTATCGAGCTTTAGTCTGCAAAGTTGAATTTCACTTGGACTCTTCAGTTTCAGTTAACACGCACACACACACACACACACTTTTCAAATTAAAATGTGCACTTTCTTCAAATTACTTTTCCATGATGAATTTGTAGATGCCACTCAGTGTAAGTCGTTGATTCGGAGCGCTGCTGATGGCCATCGCGATCAAGGCAATATAGGAGAACGGTGGCTTTTCCGGCCGATGTGAGCTCTGCAGGAAAGATAACGGCATTGACCAGAAATTCGGATTAATGCGCAGAAAAGGATTCAATTGCTGATAATAGTAAGCGGCGGCAGCAACATTATTCTCCGACAACAATGCGGCAACCGACGGATTATTCGCACAAACAAACTCGCCGCGCGCCAATTGCAGCTCATTCAGTGCGCTGGAGGCCGGGTAATACGGTGAAGGTAGCATCATAAAGGTGTATAAACGAACAATATATATATAAGTATGTGTGTATAAGCACTTTCACTTAGTAACTTTTCTAAAAACTGTTACACTTGACAAGTAATAACGAGTGCCTTAACGATCATTCGTCAAAAAAAAAAAAAAACGGAACGACTAAAATCCGAAAATACCGACGCGTTGCGCCACGTTGAGCATACGAAACGTAAGTGCGACGCTTGCACGTTAAGAAAAATTATAAATTCTGTTGAGAGGCGCAGGAAAATTAGTACACCACGAATGGGCGATGATCTACTACAGACTGGCGGCTAAGCAGCCTAACTCTGCAGGCGCGATCGTGGAGGAGTTGGAAAATGAAAAGTACTTCCCTCATTTATCTCTGCAATTGCTTATATGCATATACGAATGAATTTGTTTACGCATGTAGTTGTGTACGTAGAGGTCGTATCTCTTGGAAAAACAATGGCTGGCTGGGTGACTGGCTGGCGGGCGATCCTCACAAGCATAGCAGCGAAGGTTCTTAGGCGAAGGCTTGCCTCCTATCAAATTAGAGAGTGTGGGAGCGCATTTGCATACACACATACACATATATATGTATATATATAAATATGCATATTTACATATGTGTGTGTGTATATGCGTTTGTGTGTGTATGGGGGCTGCTGTGTGGCAGCAGTAACGTATGAGTGATCATATCTTTACTTTTTGTGTTGCTGACTGCTCGCTCTGTTTGCTATCTTAGCTGTTGTTATTGTATATGCATGTATGCATGTATATAAAGATATATATATCTTTTTTGAAACAGTTCATAAATTCTTCGTGCATTTTGTGCAGTTTGTATTGTGTTGTTGGCTGCTAAAGCTACAACTGATTTGTTTGCTAAATAAATAAGCGACCTACAAACGACTGTTGCAGGCACTCGTCAACAAAAAACTCACACACACACACACACATTTATATACATGCATTAACATACATATGAGATTATATATATATAATAAGTGCAAGCTGTGCGCTGGATTAACGCAGCACACGTCTAACTCGACCACATCACATCAACAACACGCCCATTAACACCAAATGCCGAAACACTTTCACACGCACACAAACCTACAAATGCAAGCACTTACACTTATACCTACATATGCATATGTAGGTGCATGCGTATTGAGCATTGCATTTGCATATGGTTACAGTTCGAATTTTGATGATCGAGTTAATGTTGTCGTAAAATTACGTCAATAGGCCGCAAAGTACTCGAAATTATCTAAACTATGTTATGCTGGCACATATCCACAGCCGCAGCAACGCTCATACATACACGCATACACAGACATGCATACATGTATGCATATTTGGAACGCTCGACTGTAGTTGGTAGGCAGCAGAAAAAGCAAAATCAGACATGAAAGGAAATTATATTGCAACGCCTGCTGTGGTATGGATCGTAAAAATCGCACATTCTGCCGCTATGCTCTGCAGGCAACATGTTTGTATGTGTGTGTGCGTGTTCTGCAAAATGAAGTACCAATGCACATACACATATGTAACTATGTATATGTAAGTACAATATATTTGTGTTTAAAGGGAAAGCTGGTTATTTGGTTTGAAGGTTGAAATACCATATGCCTTTTGGTACTTGATTGAAGTTCCTTTGAATGTATTAGATTATTTTCAAAAATAAACGCAATAAAATAACAAAAATAAACAACTGTTTTATGACTCTTTTAACTGTATTTAAAAACTGTTTGTTATCAGTGAGATTATATATCTAGTTAATATATTAAAAAATTACCAAATTTTTGAATTCTTCTCGTTACGTTTGAGCTCCGCGACCTTGTAAACATTTAGTAAATGAAAACACCAACACTGTTATGCAGCTAAATTCATATAATATTAAGCTCATACAATAATATCGCTTGTTATTACGTCTCTACTCGGTTATATCAATTTGTTTGATTTGATATTGATTTATACCAGTTGTTTGTTCGATTCTCCATACTATGTTAGTTGGATTCTATTTGATTTATACCAGTTTTTGTTAAATTTTTCAATAAATATTCACTTATTTTATTTGAGTTATACCAGTTGTACTTTCTTTGGTCGTTTGCTTATATTTCATTTATACCAGTTGTTTGTCCGATTTTCCAAACTATATTCGTTTGATTTGACTTGTTTTATTTCAGTCTATGTTCGTTTTGTTATCTTTTATTTATACCAGATTTTTGTTCGGTTTGTAAATTAATGTTCGTTTATTCTCTTTGACTTATACTCTTTGGTTATTATATAATATACATATTATATTCTTTTGATTCTAATATATTTATGCCAGTTGTAAGATTTCCAAATAAACGTACACGTGTTGAATTATTCCAGTTTTATTTTATTTCTACCAGTTTTTTGTTCTATTCGTAAATTCGTGTTCGTTTATTCTATTTGAATTATCTCAGTTGTACTTTTTATGGTCGTTTGATTATATTTGGTTTATACCAGTTTTTTGTTCAATTTGTAAGTCCATGTTAATTTATTTTATTTTATTTATACCAGTTGTTCGATTTGCCAATCTACACCCGCGCGATTGTTGTTGAATTATACCAGTTGTATTTGAATAATATTCGTTTTTTGTTCGATTTGTCAATCTACGTTCATTTTTTTATATATGATTTATGCCATTTGCTTGTTAGATTTGCCAATTTATGTTCGGTTGATACTCTATGATTTATACCAGTTGTTTGTTGGACTTTCACTATACCAGTAGTTTTCTTCGATTTGCCAATCTATATTCTATTGATACCACACTTCAGAAACGTGGTATCATTAATGTAATATGTTATAGCGTTGCAGAAATTGTGTAGTATTAATCCATTAGCTAAACTCTTTTAGAAACCGAATTCAGAGGAAATTAGTATCCCAAATTCGCCCTTCTTTTGCTCAAATAAATGCTGAAAAGGTACTTGTATAATTATAATTTGTGGATGGTGTTAAGAGTGTTGATTGGAAATATTTTGGTGAAAATATCCAAATTTGTCAGAGTATTCGTTAAATTGGGATCTGAAGCAAAATATAATCGACGGATTAGAAAATCCATGGAAGATCTATGAAACACAAATCCTAGACCAGAAGAAATACTTGAACTTATAATATATATTTATTAACGAAACTATATATTGAAATCGATATCGATGAAAGTTTGCTACTTTTATTTGCAGCCAAATGTACTTAAAAGGTTTTGATGGTTATTGGTTTCAAAAGGAAATCGTGGGTTTTCACACTCCGAATCAAACAATTCTGTTTGTTTAGTTGATTTAGTTAGGTCAGATCAGGTTAATCTCCACACCAAAGATAGCGCAAAATCCCACTTGGACAGCTGTGAACGCCAGTCCTATGTGATACCGAAAGCTTCTGAACATGAATCACCAGATCATCATGAATCGACGAAGCGGTTTGAGCTTACCACAAATTTATTAAGTCGGCTAATAGCCACAGCCACTTCACAAGGCCACCCTCGGCGAAGGTGTGTGTCTGCTGAAATATTTCAATCTCAGTCTGGTAAATGCTGGTCAAAAGAGGAGGATATGCCTCGATTCAGCCCAACAGTGTGTGAGAAGTGCTCTGTCAGAACATCTACAATTGCGGCGAGATGAACTTTGCTATGAGAAAGTAGTTCAGAGTAGATCTCTAATTTTCCACTCTGCGCCCGAAGGCTCTCGCAGTCGCATAAGTTCTGATTGTTGACCAGCGCTTGACATGCTCACGATAGGTTCATAGATGTTTCGTTAGAGTACAAGAGGACTACGGCGCATCGGCTTGTTCTCAATTTGATGACATTGTCGGATAAAGAAGTATACTGCTACTTTTGATAAAGAATCGTTTCGCCGCCCAGCCATCGGCGTAAGTGTATACATCTTTGAAGGAAGCTGTACCTCGGAGCAGTTTATTTACTGTTACCTTGTTGGCAGCCACCTTCGCTTGAAAGTAAATGTAGTGCTCTGGTAGACGGAAGTTAAATTCGATGGACAGCTCCCGACATAAAACTCCCACTTCCAATTTCCCGCTAACCTTCGCTTCGTCCATCTATCACTCACAGGTATGTGCGCAGAGAAGCAAACACCAGCAGCAGGTTTGGTGAGCATCCAGATTGCCAGGGATGCAATCGAAGTAGCGGTGAATTTCTGAATATTCCTACTTGGAACCCTTCATGTACTCAGTTTCCATGTGTCGAAATGCACCTACCAGCTCTTATGTTTATGACTTGCCAAATTAACCGAAAAGCTCTTTAGAACAATGCATCGAGATCTATTCGATGTTCTTCGCTTACGCTATTTACTGTCGGCAAGGTTTCATGCCCATAAAAATAGTAGAATTATTTGTAAATATATATTGTGAAAACGCCCATCAGTTCCGTGAAATTCTGCAAATTTGGCCATAAAGCATACAATAGTTGTAATATTAAACGAACGCGCCAAGTTAATAAGAGTTTATTTTATATTTTAAGACTTCTTTGAGTTGAAACGAAATAGTAAACAAAAGACTATCATCAAAGTTTTCCATATAGCAGCTAGACGATTTTATCATTTGTTTGTTTATAATTGTAATTTCCAATTAATCATTACCGCGGGCACATGCGGCTTGTGCAATCAAGTGCAGCAGTGATTAAATATTCTTAAGAAGTGACTACACATATGCGTGTGTGTGGGTGTGCGTAAGTGTGTGTTGGAAATAAATGTGTATATGCAGGTGGTTCTATGCCAGAAGGCTTCGCACTCTACTCATTAGGGTGAGCAATATTTTTCGATTTCCGAAATAAATTTATATTATTTCTCTTAAAGTTGAAAACGATAATGAAAGAGAGGGTATATCAATGTTAGAAAGTATCGACACCCCTAGTACTTAGTGTACCGCCCGCCAAGCGCAGCGCTTTTATACTCAATGGCCGCACTCGTTGGTGGTAGCTCATGATCGTAAATATTTTGAAAGTATAAAATTGTATCCGTAAACAAATTTAATAATAATTAGGCTTTTTTCAAATTCTTTACTGCTTAAGCACATGCACATTTGGAATTCCCTTTCTTTGGTGTGAACGCCACGGGCTTTGATCGCGCCAGACATTGAGGCAGCAGCAAAGTCTTCTGAGTTCTGCAGCTGCAACGCTGCACACTGCATCAAAGTGCGCCACTGTTGTGTGCACTGTTTTTCAATTACATAAAAAACTCATTAAATTTACGGGAGCATGTGGCAACTTAACTTTTACTCTCGACAACAATGATCGCCTCTTGAGAGCGCACGTGTGTTGAAAACACAGAAATCTTTCTACCGCGATAATGTTTACTAAGATACAAATATTTTGAAATTAATGCATGGATTTATGATTTGTTAAATAGCGGATCTTAGCACGGGACTAGTATGATTGTTGCCTAATAAGGCTTCTCAATCTTACC